GATCCTTGGCAGAATAGTTTAATAATTAGAGTTCGTTTTTATGCAAAAGGGAAAAACAAAAGAAATTATTTGACTAGACAACCATTAAACTGAGCTATCATCATCTTAAAGCATGCAGACAAGTGGAGGTAAAATTTTAAGTCAAAATTTTACTGTTTGCTGCCAACTACTTGCAGGTAAACCGTAGGAAAATTACGCAGAGCAAAATTTCCTTCTCAAAATTGGTAAGGGAAATGTACTGGGTTGAATAATTTCCTCAAAAATTCATATCCATCTGGAACCTGGGAATATGTTCTTATTGCAGAAGTGGTGTAGATGTCATCAAGTCAAGATGAGGTCATACTGGATTAAGGTGGGCCCTGCTCCAATGACCAGTGTCCTTATAAGAAGAGGGAAATTTGGACACACATACACACAGAGAAAAGAACACCGTGTGAAGATGAAGGTAGCAGTTGGAGTGATGCATCCCCAAGCCAAGGAGGGCCAAAGACTGTAGACAACCACCAGAAGCTAGGTAGATGAGTGAAGGACCTTCCCTAGAGTCTTGAGAAATATCCTGTCCCTGTGGACACCTTGATTTCACACTTCTGTCCTCCAGAATTGTGAGAGAACAAACTTCTGTTGTTTTAATCCACCCAGTTTGTGGTAATTTGTTTGGTAGCACCAGGAAATTAATACAGGAAGCATATGGAAAAGAGAGACACTTGAACAAATACGTATTTCAAAACACTTGGTTTAACTTTAATACCCTCCTCTAGGCCCCATCTAGGAATCTAAGTTGGATGAGCAAACATCAGCTGACCTTTCACTGGTGGAAATTTGGACAATTGCTGTGTATTCATTCAAACTAAAAAATGAGAGGAGAAGGAGGAAAAAATATTTATTTTAATCATTCCGATACAGTGACAATTCTAATAACGTTTTGAGACTCTGCTAAATCACTGCCTCTGTTCTCTGCTTTGTCTTGGTAGTGAAGCACTAGTTTGTGTAGCCGTTGTTTAGACATTTTCATGGATGCTAGGAATGGCTCAGTTTAGAGACCCAGAGCTGCAGTGGTGGCTAAGCCTCACGTGGACCTGCTCACGTCTTCTGGGGCTGTGTGGTCAACAGCACTTTATACTTGATCCTGTTGGACATAGGCTGTACTTGTTCAAGTGACAGAATGGTTTAAGCACAACCTCGAAGATCCTTTTTGTCTTCTTTCTTTCCTAGAGAAGTATACAGGTAACTATAGATAAAACGGACATAAATGCCTGGGTATTCTGGATCAAAATATTTCAATCAGTGTTGGGCTAAGTTAGTGTTTTTGCTACCAGGAAGAGAACAAAATCTGATTTTAGTCTAATATTAGTACTATTTTTCTTCTATTTGATTAGCGTTTGTCTCCTTCTCCTCTGAACAAACCTCTACTCATTTTTCAACGCCCTTCTCAAATGTCAAGCCTTCTTAAAGCCTTGCCAAGGTCAGACAGGATTAATAACTCTCTTCTTTGGGTTTCCATAGACTTCTGTTCTACTTGCTGCCATGTTATGCATATTATAGTATAGATAGTTGTTTGTCTCCCCAATAAACTGTGAGCTCCGTGCTCATCTTTGCATTTCCAGTTTCTAGCATTATGCCTGGTATAAAGCCTGTGCTTAGCAGATGTTCACTGAAGGAATGATGGAATTTTTGAGGACTGAAAGCTATTTATAAAAGTATTCTACACTGAATTTAAAGAGCATTTTCCTCATAGGTGTGTTCCAATTTAGGGTAACTTTGAGAACTGTAAATGGAATTCAAACATCAGCACTACTATTCTACTGAACTTGATGATCCTGCGAAGTTTTCACTGACTCCACACACATTATCTGATTCTAGCTTCTGCTCTGACCCTTTCCCAGCTGTCCCCTCTTATCGCCGTTACAAGAATACAAGCATCTATCACGAGCTCTCTGCCCCACAGAGAACGAAGTCCAAAAAATGAACCAAGTAGAGAAAGGCAGGATGTGATCATATTCCCTTTTGTTTGATATCTGTGTTCTTTTGTTGATCGTAGATTTCTATTAGGAGGCCCCCATTTCTTTCAGGATCATCTATCCACTCCTTGATTCAAGAAATGGTACTTACTTCTGAATGAATAGGCCCAATGCTAGGGAGAAAAGGAGTTTATAGTTTGGTAATAGAAAAAAAAAGGTCAAGAAGTACTGTGTTTTATAAAGGAGATACAGAAAAGTCCCATGAGAGTTCCAATGAGGAAAATGAAGCTCAAGGAGATAAACTAACTTCTCAAATTTACACACCTTGTAAACATTAGAGCTGAGATTTATTCTTTTTACACTTGATATCAGATGGAATAAATGGAGGAAATGAAATTCAAACCTAGTTCAGCATGGTACAAAAGCCCGTGGTCTTCTGCTACACTACACCATGCTGCCTCCCATAGGCTACTGCTTTAGCTGTCTGAGATAGGCAAACGGACCTGTACTAGGTTATCAGCAATGAAAATAAAAAGGATAAAGGGGTAGGGGCAAGAATTAAATGCAGGACACACAATTAGCACAAGATGGCAACTGACTAAATGTGGAAAAAAAAGGAAAGAATGGAATTGAAGATTGCTTAAACTTGGAGCTGGGGTAACTAGGAAAACAACCATGCCATTAGCAGTATTAAGCATTTCAAGGGAAGGAACAGCTTTTACTCAGTGGCAACTCTAATCCCTCAAAACTCCGCTCGCACATCCCCTCCTTAATGTAACCTTTTCTGACATCCTCAAGTCCGCTATACAGTATTTTGTATCTCAAGAATAATAATGATGATGATGATACCAATTTTTCAATGCAGACTGAGTGCCATGCTTGTACTAAGTTCCTTTTATTCCTCACTATAACCATATGAAATAAGTACTATTATTAACTCCATTTTACAGAGGAGGAAACTGGGGCTTACAGAGTCCTAAGGTTGCAGATATTAAATGGCAGATCAAGATCTGAATTCAGGTTGGTCAGAAACAGCACTCTTAACAGAAGCAGAACAGCGCCATACTTAAGAACACGGGAAATGGGGCCAAACTGGCTGGGTTTGAATCCTGCCCTTACTAGCTGAGTGACCTTCGGCAAATTATTGTGCCTCAATTTCACCATATCAGGTGTTAAACGGGGACTATAATAGTATCTGCCTCCTACTATTGTTGTGAGGCTTAAACGAGTTCATTTTTATAAAGCCCTTAGAAAACTGCCTGGCACAAAGAAGTATCAGTCATTGCACTCATCTCTCTCTCTCTGTCTCTTATAATTATTGGAACTTTATTTCTCACTGAACTGTGAGCTCCGCTAGGATAGGTAGTGTGTCTGTGTCATTTTCCTACCCTCAGCACCTAGCACCATATCTGCCACACAGCAGGCCCTCAGCAAACATTTGTTGCCTGAATAGCATTATTCATGCAGCTTGAAATTCCATCTCTGAGCTTCAGAGACGGGAGGTGGATGGAAAAATAGGTATGAGTCCCACACATAGACATTTAAGCCTGGCAATAGGCAGAACTGTCAAGGAAGAGAGCATGGAGGGAAAAGAAATAGAACACTGGAGAAAGATTGATGGCAGGAGACGAAAGGAGACAGAAAAGGAGCTCAGAGAGGATATTCTTTCAAGGAAGGCATGAAAAAAGAGACTTCAAGGGAACTGATCTGAGTCCAGAGGAAAGGCTGTCTTAATGGTGGAGTATAAAAAATTAGTGGTTAGCAAGCAGCTGACTCTGAGGTTTAAGAAAAAAAATTTTAAGTCTGAAAGGAAGGAAATGATAGTCATTGTGTAATGGTTTTCTTAAACTTGGCAGGCTTTCAAATGTGGGTCCCTATCTTCCTTGCCGGGGCGGGGAGTTGAGAGAGCTGGGGAGCATTCAGATCATCGGCGAAAGGGAGGGTCTGGGCCTCAACTAAATGGTAACGAAGACAAGTTCCAGCTTCACGCACAACGTGAGATAGAAAAGTCAAATAAAACATTCACTTTGCCCTTTATTATTCCGTTTAGGCTGGTAAAGCAGGACTGATGAAGTTTTTGCCAGGTAGACAAAACTATCAGCATCAGGTTTTTATCTGAAATATCTCCCTCATTACACTTGGATCTGAGTAGGTTTCCACCACCCACGGAGACTGAATAACCGGCTTTCCGAGTTATTCCTGATAGAGTTCTCGTTATTACAAACGACTCGGGATCCCTACTCCGCCTCAAAAGAAGGGCAAGAAAAGGGAATCGGTATCAGTATTTGAGAAAGACGTTTTTATAAATAATCGGTAGGCATCACTTTTGCGCTTTAAAAAACTTGCTATTCTTTCAAAAACTCTGAGGAACGGAAAACCTGCAAGTGGTCAGATGGGCCCGCAGCAATCCACCAAACAAGGTAAAAATTTACTTTCACAACAGACGGCTTTATGGGGTCTTTTCCACTGTTAAGTGGAGGAAAATAGACCCTGGACAGTGGCTGGAGGGACTGCACCAAGTCTCTTTTTAAAGAAGGGTTTGCCATTCTTAAGTGAACAAGCCGCTGTTCAAGGCCCTACTCCGGGATCTAGCACCTTCAGCAAGTCGCTCCCCACTCTGGGGAGCAAATTTTCTCCGTCAAATAAGGAAAAAGGGTGTGCGTGTGTATGCGTAGAGGAGACTGGACTGGAAGTGCTTTTAAATCAGGTCGTTTCCTAACGATTTCTCCCCTTCCTGTGCTAGTTCCCTCGAGGAGAAAAACCTGTGAATTAATTCTTTGGATATGAAAATAAAGCAGGCACCCTTGCCTCGAGGGTAAGTATTAGAAAAAAGGAATCCGAACAGCTGAGGAACCTGACGCATCCAGCACCTGCACCTCCCGCCCCACAAACCCTCCCTCCACGCGAAGAGACCCAGGAGCAAAAACAAGATGGCGTCAGCGCGCAGGGGCCCGCCCGCGCCCCCGCGACTCCGCACTGCGGCAGCGGACGGAGGCCGCACCGCATTGGCCGCCTGCGATGAGGTCATCTTAGGGGCGGAGCCCGGCGGCGGCGCGGGGGCGGGGCCTTGTGGACGCACGCACGTCAAGGCGCTGCTAGCCGGAGCCGCAGAGGCTGCGGGCTTGGTCTGCGGCGGCTGCTGTGGCGGCGTCCCGGCCCGCGGCTCGAGGTGAGCGGGGGCTGTAGGTATGGCGCGACAGGAAGCAGCCTCCGAGGGGCACAGGAAATCCTTCTAACAGCCGCCTCGCTTGTCAAAGGAATTAGCTGGGATCTTAGTTCTTCCAGAGGGAATGGAGGTTCATCCCTCTTCGGGGACCCCTCCTGTGGGCAGGGGAACCAGAGGTTCACTCCCATTCGGAGGCCCTGCTCCCTTCCCCCATTTGAGGGGTAGGCGGAGGAACTGAAGGTTATTGGGTAGGCAGAAGAATCTGGGGGGCTTCTTAAAGGGGCTTCCAATGTGAGGGTTCCCCCCTTTTATTCCCTGCTCCAGGAGGTAGGTGTGCCTGGGCTCAGAGAATTCCTGATTTCTCACGTAGTAGACAGGAACTGAAGCAGGTGAATTTGAATACCTATTAGGAGGCGAGGACTGGATGACAGTGGTGAGGCAGGGCGGGGAGGCGCTTTATTTGGACACATCTTGTGTAGAATTACTGTTTCTTCATATTTTGTTTTGTCACACCTCTCTCCCCAGAATCGCTTTGGTCTGTTTAAGTTTTCTGTTTGGCTCCAGTGGGATAGAGATGTTCTAGGGAGATTTGTAGTCATTAAAGAACAGAAGGAAGGAGGTAGCTCGTTGCAGACTGTCATTACCGGCAGCCTCTGAACTATGCTGATCGGGCATGATTTCATGTGTTTAGAGATTGTGGAATCTGTCCTTGTCGGGGGGTATGAGGGGCGGCGTATGGGGAGCTGGTAACTGCTGTTTTGGATGATTCAGGTATAGACAGTCTTAAAGTCAAGCTACATAACGTCTTGAGAAATCCTTGCTATACCTGAGTGTGCTGTTTTGCTGCCTTGAACATTAAGTACACAAAGGTTTTGTCATTCCAGTTTCTCAAAATGTCTCCCAGCCTTTCAGAAGAATAACTCTTCCTTTGACGCCCGTTCCACCTATCATTATGTGTGCCCTCATGATATGAAAAATACTGTGCGTTTTACTGACGTTGGATACTGTACAGTCTGTGCCTTACAATAGTTGATGGAGAATAAATAATTGCAGTTTCAGGACCACTGATAGCGCCAATTGTCTTCCATACCCGGCAACAAGCCAGCCCTAAAAGGAAACCTTCATTGGCACATGCATGAGAAGCTTGAACAGATGGAAGAACGTAATTAGTCTGGAAGGTGAGGATAAGAAACAGAAAGCTGTGGAGGTGGAACGCTTGTTCTCTGTGGCTTGATAAAACTGCTTTGTCATTATCAATGTATTCCTGTTGTGCTTGACTTGAAATTGAGCTTAATATGCAAGATGGTTCTTCTTATTTTGTTGTTGTTGTTGTTGTTTTAGATAATGCTTAGTGTTTGGATTCCTTGGGGAGAAATGGTGTTTTCCGAGACGTTTGGAAGGTTAAACCCTTTAAGGTAGCCGTAGCTTTAGGGTAGTGCTGGGACTTTGGCTGTTAAAAATGGGCAGTAGTGGGGCCGGCCCGGTGGTGCATCGGTTAAGTGCACACATCCTGCTTCTCTGTGACCTGTGGTTCGCTGGTTCGGATCCCAGCTGTGGACATGGCACCGCTTGGCAAAAGCCATGCTGTGGTAGGCGTCCCACGTATAAAGTAGAGGAAGATGGGCACGGATGTTAGCTCAGGGCCAGTCTTCCTCAGCAAAAAGAGGAGGATTGGCAGCAGTGAGCTCAGGGCTAATCTTCCTCAAAAAAAAAAAAAAGAAATGGGCAGTAGAGGGTAGAAAACTACTTGGGACAGAGACATCCTTTATGAGAGTATAATTAACGTAGGTCTCCTCTGTTTCCTGACACAATAAAAAAAAAAAAAGAGCAGTGTGAATGTCACTGCCTCATAATATTGTGTCCAGGATATTTAAAGAGCTGTTTGGGATTCCCAGTTCCTGTTTTTAATCTGGACACATTCTTATGTATTGAGATGTCCCCAAATATTGTCATTCGATCCTCATGTTGACTGCAGAGGAAGTGACTTTTCATCAGACGCTCTGCAGGAGAGGATTCAATAACAGCCTTTGTAATGTCTCCTTTTCATCTTTCTAAGCAGGATGTCAAAACAGTTGTTGAAGACCTGTCAGCATGGGGTGGAAGATATGAAGGGAAAATGAAAGTGCCTTACTGGGGTGTTGTTTTTCTTAGCCCTCTTGGTATTTTCCAAGGTCATATAATTTTCTCTTTTTGCCTTAGATTGAAGAGAAATCCAGGTCCTCAGCTGACTGCTACTTTCTGCCACCATGGGGGAACTTTTCCGGAGTGAGGAGATGACACTGGCCCAGCTTTTTCTACAGTCAGAAGCTGCTTATTGTTGCGTCAGTGAATTAGGAGAACTCGGAAAGGTTCAGTTTCGTGATGTAAGTAGTTGTGGCTGCTTCTTGATTACTGCTGAACTCTATTTTTCTTGTCTTGGCCAATTGCCTTATGATGAATGTTTTACTTTTTATTTGCAAAAATAACATTGTACTACTGGCTTACTATTGGTAGAGTGTGCACTTTGAATTGTCTTTCTAGAGGTGAGAATGTTTTGTGCCAGTCCTTCCATGCTTTTATTAGCTCCCCCTTTGGGAATAATCCTAAGTATTTTCAAGGTAATTGCTTGAGATGCAAGTAGAGGACACCAAACTAACCTGTTCAAGGCTTGAACTTTGCTTTTTGGGCTCCTTAACACCCATAGCAGGGTATTAAAAAGAAATTGTCATAGCTCTTCCATACAATAGCACATATTTATTACAAAATTTGAAGCATCAGTTACAAATATATAGTGCATAAGTAAGCATATACTGAATACCCATTATTTTGAAGCATTATGCTGGGCACTTGGAGAAGATATCAAAAGAAAATGGAGTCTAACAGTAAAAAAGTATGCCCTATGGGGCTTACAATCTGATCAGGAAGGCACAATATAGGCTGCTGAAAGGAGGGGGAGTTAACAGTTCTCTGTACACATTCTCAAAGCACCGTGTGCCTCTCATTGGTAGCACTCATTATAGTCGTGATTTTACATTCACCAGTGTGAGTGGTTGATTAAAGTCTCTCTCTTCTACTGTGATCTAAGCACCATGAAGACAGACATTCATTGTTGTATCCTTAGTGCCCACATACAAGATATTCAGTCAGTATTTGTTGGAATGAATGAATGAATGGATGAAGTGGTCAGAAAGGAGTGAGATTAATCAATATTGGCTTCCTGGAATTGGCAAGCTTTCAGGAAGTTCTCAGTGTGAGCTGAAATTGCACAAATATAATCCAGCGATGTGGTCTTATTCCTCATTGTCTTTGAACATTTTTATGCTGTCTCTCTTCTGATTTTCTCCTACCTGAGTCTGATTCTTTCTCTTACCTTTCTGAGAATTCATTTTTATTGTCCACGAGCCTCTCTTTTATCTTCCCCACCCCCTGCCCTCTGTGTCACTGTTGCCCAAGCTCCCTTCTCTGCCTCTCCAGATAGGCTTCTTAACACCCACATCTTCCTTTGTCATCTTTTCTGGTGATCTCATCTATTCTCAAGTCTTCCATCTTTATATAGTGAGTCCCAAATCAGTATCTCTGGCCCTGACCTCCCAAACGCCATCCTTGAATTTACAGCTCTCTAACATTGTTGTCATGTCTGCTTCTCAAGTTCAGTATGCCTAAATTCCAACACCTTACCTTTTCACAAACTATTTTTTCATGCTGACTTTCTAAATTTGTGCTAATGCATTGATATTCTACCAGTTTTCTAGACTTGAAACCTGTCACCCTTAATTTGCAATCCTTCATCTGGTGTTATAGTTTCTCTTCTTAACACCCATTGTGTCTATTCAGCATTCTTAACTTTTACTTATGATGTATTTCAATGATACAAAAAATTATAGGGAATAATATAGCGAATACCTCTGTTTCTACTATCTACTTAAGAGATAGGCATTCCACATACAATTGAAGGCTCCTGCGTATCCCTCCTCCATGCCGTTTCTCTCCCCTCCTCCCCAGAGGTAACTTCTGCAATGATTTTTGCTTTTAATCATTCCTGTGTGTTTTTATTTTTTACTTTTGCTATGCATGTATGTATCACTAAATAGTAATATAGAGTATAATTTTTTATGTTTTAAACATATATAGAGAGTATCATATAGTATGTATCCTTTAGCAGGTGCTTTTTAAATTCAGCATTTGTGCGATTTGATCATGTTGATGCAGGTAGTGCTAGTTCATTGCTTTAAATTGCTATGTAGTTATTGTGAGAATGTGCACAGTCTATCTGTACATTTTTTCTTTCTGATGAACATTTAGGTTGATTGCACCTCTTTGCTATTGCAGTGTTGCCATTGAAGATTCATATATATATATTTGTTTCCTGGTATACATGTGTGATAGTTCCTCCAGGAGAGCAGTTTTCAAACTTTGTGGCCTAAGGATCTCTTTACACTCTTAAAAAATTATTGAGGACCCAAAGGGCTTTTATATGAGTTATAGCTATCGATATTTTCTGTGTTGGAAATTAAAATTGATAAATACTTTAATTATTTATTTATTAAACATTTAATACTTGTAATAATGAACCCACTACATGTTGTCATAAATAACATTTTAATGAAAAAAATTATATTTCCCAAAACAAAAAAAACATCAGAAGAGTGGCATTTTAAAACATTTTTTAATGTCTGAATTCATAGAAAACAGCTGGGTTCTCATATTTGCTTCCGCAGTCAGTCTGCTGTGATGGACATCATGAGCCTCTGGAAAGCTTTGCTGAACACTCATGAGGGAATGAGAATGAAAAAGGCAAATGGTGTCTTAGTGTTACTGTGAAAATAGTATTAATCTTGCTGACCTGCTGCTACTCCAGAGATTGTAACTAGGAGGGACATTGCTGAGTATCATGTGCATCTTTAACTGTTAGATGTTATCACAGTGTACTCACACAAATATACCTGTTCGTGCTCCCATTGCTGGTTGAGCATTCCTCTTGTTCCACAATTGGGTCAACACCTCTGTGCTGAGACTTAAACAGATTTGTCAATATGCTGGGTGTGAAGTGATATCTTATTGTTGTTTTAATTTTCATTTTCTAGATTAGTACATTTGGTATCTTTTTATCTGTTAAAAGGGCATAATGGGTTTAATTTTCCATGAATATCTACCCATATCATCTGCCTGTTTTTCCGTGGGGTTTGCTTGTCTTTTGTTTATTGACTTACAGGATTTGTAAAAGTTCTTCATGTATTCTGGAAGCTAATCTTTTTCTAATCCTTTTCTGATAACCTTCTGCAGTCTGTGGCTTGTCTTTTCCTTTTGGCTACAATTATCATACAAAAAGCTTATTTTTCTTTTTTGAAAATCAGTATTTTCTTTTTTCCTAAATTTTTATTTAAAAAAACTTCAAGCCTGAAAACTCTTATGTAAATTCACTAGTTGTTAACATTTTGCTACATTTGATGTGAACTTTTTTTACTGTACCGTTAGAGAGTAAGCTGTTTCTTCCTTTGAAGTCCTTATCCTTTTCTTTCTTTTTCTTATTTTACCATACACATTGGGACCTTCATTAACATGCTGAAGAAGAGTAACAGCAAGCTAATACTGGTTAGGATTATGTTTAGCTATATGTAACGGAAAACCCAGGTGATAGTGGTGTACTTTTCTCACATAACATGAAGTCCAGCTTCACGCTGCCATCAGTATCCTAGGATCATTCTGTATTTGTTTGGCCATCCTTGAGCATTTAGCTTTTGTCCTTACAGATGACCACCTCCACAGCTCCAGGAATTTCACTCGTGTTCTAGGCAGCAAGGAGGAAGTGCAAGGAGGAAGGAGAAGTACTTCTATCAGGATAAAAAAGACTTTCCCTAGACCAGCCCAGTGGCATAGTGGTTAAGTTTGCAGGCTCTGTTTCTGCAGCCCGGGGTTTGCGGGTTCAGATCCCGGATATGGACCTACACACCCCTTGTCAAGCCATTGTGGTGCCATCCCATGTACAAAATAGAGGAAGATTGGCACAGATGTTAGCTCAGTGACAGTGTTCCTCAAGCAAAAAAGAACAAAACCACCTTTCCCAGAAATCCTCAGCAGACTTTGCTCATTTATCGTTGCCCAGAATTATGGCATACTCCAGCTGCAAGTGAGTCTGAGAAATGTAGTTTTTCAACTGAACAGTTGCTGCCCTGAACAGAATTGGGAAGTAGGGCAAAATGCTATGTATCTGTCACCTTGCATTTCCTGTCTTGCTCCTGACTTTAAGAGGAATCTTTTTAATGTTTCACAATTTAAATAAGATATTTACTCTTAAGTTTTTGGAAAATTCTATTAGATTATGTAGATTCCTTTCAATTTCTGATTTCCTAAAGTTATTGTCACTAATGGTTGTAGAATTTTATTGAATGCCTTTTCTTCATCTGTTGAGGTTATCATGTTTTTTCTCCTTTAATCTATTAATTTGGTGAATTACATATCCAGATTTTTTCCTACTATTTTTTTAAACAGCTCTACTGAGATATCATACAATTTTTCCATTTAAAGTGTACAATTCAGTGATTTTTAGTATACTCACAAAGTTGTACGACCATCACCACAATCAATTTTAGAAGATTTTCATTACCCAACAAGAAACCCTGTACCCATTAACAGTCACTCCTTGTTTCCTCCCAACCCCACTCCCTCCCTTCCAGCCCCTGGCAACCACCAGTCTACTTTCTGTTTCTGTGGATTTGTCTATTCTGGACATTTCATGTGAATGGAATCATACAATATGTAGTCTTTGGTGATGGGCTTCTTTCATTTAGCATAATGTTTTCAAGGCTCATCCATGTTGTAGCATGTGTGTGTACTCTTTTTTGCATATTTTTAAAATATGAAAATATGCGACATATTAAAATGGGTGGTTTCAATGTAAGAAGTAGTTGTTATCTAGTGTCTCTGCAAAATATACCACTCTGGGTTTTAGAGCGACAATTGAGTAAGAGACGTTTCCTCACTCAACTTGTTCAAAATCTTCTGTGACTGATATGTCCCCTCATCCATTCTTCTCTACTCTTCAGTCCCTTACTATCTAACACTTACAATCATAAAGACAATTTACATTTCTTAATAGGTGCCGTGCTGAGCACTGCACATTATTATTGCGGGTATCCTCACAACAGCCCTGAGAAGTAGAACCTACTTTGAAGAGTGGAACATAGTATTCTCATTTTACAGATTAGGAACCTGTCGCATAGATGAAAATAACTTGCCCAAGGACACACCGATTTGTACCCAGGATTGTCTGATTCCACTGCCTGTGTTCTTCTTTTTTAATTGAGATATACCAAAACAGTCACCCTTTTACAGTGTACAATTCGGTGATTTTTAGTGTATTCGCAAAGTTGTGTAACCATCACCACTAGCTAATTCCAGGACATTTCATCACCCCCCCCAAAGAAACCCTGTACCCATTAGCAGTCACTCCCCGTCTCCCCCTCCCCCTAGCCCTTGGCAACCACTTAATCTATCTCTGCCTCAATGATTTTTTTTATCATTCCATTCTAAATACTTTAAGATTTTTGTTATAATTTCTTCTTTGAGCTGTAAATTATTTAGAACTATTTTAGAATTTCCAAGTATGTTGTTTAACATGTATTTTTGATGTTGATTTCTAACTTAATTGCATTGTACTCAGAGAACATTGTCTATATAGTATCAATTCTTTACTGAGACTTACTGTATGACCTGTTTTGTGGTAAGTTTTTATAGGTGAATTCTTCAAGAGAGAACTGTTGGATGTAGATACAGAAAATATACATGTGTGTATATTAGATTAAGCTCATTAATTATGTTCAAATTTTCTCTATCCTTATTGATATTTGGTAGATTTATGTGTCAATAATTTAAAAGTTATATTAACTTTTCCCACTAAGTAGACAGATTTGTCTGTTTATCCTTGTAGTTCTGTTAATTTTTGTTTGAAATATTTCAAAGATGCCTTACTGGAATATTTCAGGTCGCCTTTCCTGAAACAGGCTGTGGGACGGCTTCAGTTGAACCTTGCCTCCGGATTATGAAACCAATAAAGTTAGCCGAAGTCTTGTAACTACTTTCACTTCAGAGTGTTGTGTTTATTGAAGTGCAAATTTCTGAATGAGAGGCCGAGATGCTGCCTGTTCAGTGGAAAAGAAAACCAACAACAAACATTTTATTATGGACCCACAAGTTTAGAATTGTCACATCTTCCTGGGAATTGTTCTTATTATGTAGTGATTCTCTTAATTTCTAGTAATGCATTCTGCCTTAGATTCCCTCTGTCTAATAATATTATACCAACAATTTCCTCACTAGTTTCTCTGTCAGCAGTTTCTCCCTCTTACAGTCATTCTTTACACACAATATTATTCTTAAAAACAGTAAATCTTTAAAGTATAAAAAAGGGACCGGCCCTGTGGCCGAGTGGTTAAGTTCGCACGCTCCGCTTCGGTGGCCCAGGGTTTCCCTGGTTCAGATCCTGGGCACGGACATGGCACTGCTCATCAGGCCATGCTGAAGCGGCGTCCCACATGCCACAACTAGAAGGACCCACAACTGAAATATACAACTATGTACTCGGGGGCTTTGGGGAGAAAAAGCAGAAAAATAAAAAGATTGGCAACAGTTGTTAGCTCAGGTGCCAATCTTTAAAAAGAAAAAGTATAAAAAAAATTCAGATCATTTGCTTCCCTATTGCCCATAGGACAAAGTCTTCTACTTCCTGCTCTTTATATACCCTTTCTCTTCAGCTATAGTAAATTTCTCCCCTTTTCTGAGTATGTGGTTTATTTCTGTTTCTGAGTCGCTCGCCATGATCTTACCGCTTTCGTTCTTCCTACGTCTGCTGGGTGAACTCGGCCTCATCCCCCACAGTCGCAGCTCAGGTGTTACGTTTGTACATCTTTTTTCTCTTTATCTCCAAGATAGAATTAGTTACTCCTTCTGTGTATGTTTGTTTGGGTTTTTTTCCACCCAGTTCTTTTTTATGGAGGTAAAATTTTTATTCAGTGAAATGCATAGACCTTAAGGGTACAGTTTCATAATTTTGGTATTTATATACCTTTGTAGCCATAACCCCAATCAAGATATAGAATACTTCCATCAGCCCAGAAAGTTACCTTGTACCCACTTTTGGTCACTCCCCACCCGCTGAAGGTAATCACTGTTTTTATTTCTAGTATTATAGATTTCTTTTGCCTGTTCTTGAACTTTATGGAAATGGAATCATACATTATAAACTCTTACGTCTGACTTTTTTTCACTCAACCTAATGTTTTTGGGATTTATCTGGTTTTACATGAATCTGTAGTTGATTCTTTTTTATTGCTGAGAAGTATTCCATTGTATGAATATACTACAATGTCCTTATCCATTCTCCTGTTGATGGACATTTGGATCATTGCCAGTTTGGGGCTATTATGAATAAGGCTGCTATGAACATTTCATACCAGTCTCTGTGAGCATGTTTTCATCTCTCTTAAGCAAGTACCTAGTAGTGGAATGCTTAGTCATTAGGTGTATGTTTAACTGTGTAAGAAACTGCCAACAATACTTTACTTACTTTTTAATAGCTTTTATCACAACAAATTGTATTTATTGGTTTGTGTCTGTCTCTTCTGAGACTGGTAGCTCTTCAAATCTAGGACATATCTTATTCTTTGTATTTATAGTAGTGCCTAATACAGTGTCTGGCACATAAGTATTGAGTGAGTAACTTTCTTTAAGATTTTATTTTATTTTTTTTCCTTTTTTCTCCCCAAAGCCCCCTAGTACATAGTTGTATATTCTTAGTTGTGGGTCCTTCTAGTTGTGGCATATGGGATGCCCCCTCAGCATGGCCTGATGAGCAGTGCCATGTCCGCGCCCAGGATTCCAACTGGCAAAACCCTGGGCCACTGCAGCGGAGCGTGCGAACTTAACCACTCAGCCACGGGCCTGGCCCCTATGAGTAACTTTCTTTTGTTATGTTACTTTTATGGAATTTATCACATGCTATCTTATTGGTTGTGTTCATCTTTCTTCTCTGCTAGATTGCAAGCTCCTTAATGAGTAGGAACTTGTTTTATTCTTGTTTCTATTTCCCAGAATATCTGTCACATTGCTTTGAAAATTACTCATGATGTGTGAATGAATAAACCAAGCCGTCCCCTAAAAGGTGATGACTCTGGGACAGAAGAACAAGATAAGTTTGCCTTCTGTCTCTTCTGATTGGGAAGAAGGAAAGAAGGAAAACCAGGCAGAACTTCTGTTATATCCGTCACCCAAATTTTTGATGGGGGAAGCTCACTGAGACGTTTGGCCTGGCAAGAACATTTTACACCACAGTGCTTTGTCTGATTTGCCTCCATTCCACTAATATGTTGCAGCAGTAAGGGAGGGGTTTTTATCTTTAGTTGGTGTGACTGGCCCCAATGCAAATTGTGAGGATCAGTAGACACTTTTTATTGTTGTTACGTCTTACATTGACACAAAATTGGGTTTTCACTTTGCAGGATATGTTGCTTGTGAAACAAAGGAAATGGATGCAATATTTGAATGTTTGATATTGTGTTCTTATTTTGCAGTTAAATCCAGACGTGAATGTTTTCCAGCGGAAATTTGTGAATGAAGTTAGAAGATGTGAAGAAATGGATCGAAAGCTTCGTATGTGCATTTTGATTCTGTATGATGTTCCTATAATGAGTCATTTGTCTTAAATTAGAGACACTGGTCCTCTTAATAAAGAAAGAAAATTCTACAGGAGAAAAAAATCTTATAATCATGATGTTACAATGGTGTTTAGGCTAGGTGGTGCTTACTGGAAACCTTGTTTGAGATGACAGGGCTGCAAGCTGAAAACACTGGTTATTTTTTTGTGGGAAGGGTTTTATAGCAGTACTACATTATGGAATTCTGAGAGATAGGACCCAAACCACCATCAATTTTAGATGTCAGCATAGTCACCTTTTAATTTGAGCTATTTATGCAGGAAGAAACTAACGTTTACTAAGGTTCTATTGAGAGTTAGGGTGACCATATGTTTATTTCATTCATTCCCCACAACATTCCTTTAAGATGGGTGTTACCTCATTTAATAAACGAGGAAACCAAAGATCAGAGAGGTTAAGTGACTTGCCCAAGAACATAAGTGGTCGTGATGGAATCAGTATTTGAATCCAGGTTCTTCCGTCTGGCTCTAAAACCCGTGATCTTGCTACTATACCATGCCAGCTTTCCTTTAGCTGATAGGTGAATTTGGTTCCTGTCCTAAAAAAAGTCAGTGATTGTCACCTGAAACACTTTTCTCTTCTGGTGTTTTGGGGCCTTATTCTGTGTCTTGCTTTTTGGTTTTTGTTTTGTTTTGTTTCACTTAAAACTGACCTGATTGTTTTCAAATTTAATGATCCTTTTGATCTGAAGTTATCTTGTTAGTGTGCCAAGTCTCAAATGGAATTGTGTTCTTCTGTAGCTCTACTGTGCCAACCATGTCTGTCACCAGAACCAGCGTACTTTGGGGTAGTAGTCACACAAGTGGAGAACTGAACCTAGATAAGGACCAGTTTTAAGGTCAGAAGAGGGAAAGAAGACAGCAGTGAGATGGTAACCCTTTTTAGGGTAGCTATGCTTTAGAGAGTGTGGGGTGGGAGGACGGGGAATGTGAAGAAAAAAGGATTTACATATTCTGCTTCTTTTATGTGAAAGTATCTTTCTTAGAATGGAGCCCTTTTTAGGCACGTTTTAGGTCCTATTATTATTTCCTCAAATATTGGTAATTCCAGGCATATGCTATCCATAAATGTTTTGATTCTGTTATTTTAGGATTTGTTGAGAAAGAGATAAGAAAAGCTAATATTCCAATTATGGACACTGGCGAAAACCCAGAGGTGCCCTTCCCTCGGGACATGATTGACTTAGAGGTAAATAACTCTTCTGAGGAAGTCAGTTAAGTTTCTCTCTACCTAAGTGCAACAATTACTTTCCTGAGTGGATGGAGAGTAGAGGAATTCTTACTATCCTTGTAGGCATTGTCTATCGATTACAAGTTTCTTGTGGATGGGATTAAAATTAATTCTCTTTTTTATGGTATAGAACAGTACCTTGAACAGTACCACATGCCGCTAAATAAACTTTTATTGGTTTATTGGAACCTTATTGAATTAATGTCAATTTATCTAGTTTTTATTAATCTCATAGACTAAATGAATAGCCAGTAGACTTTTCAATAATTATTTTATCCATCCGAAGTCCCCTGAGAAATTTTACCAAGTGTGTAATAAAATATAAAGGCAAAGAAAGAGCATTTTAAGCAAAAATTTTGATAGAGAAAATAGCCCTGTTAAAAATGCAGTCCTTTCTGGCTAGATATAAGATATCTTTGAGCCATCAGGGTGGAAAGAATTCTGTGGGATGAATGAATTCATCTGTCTTTCAGAGCAAGCATACTGAGCTTAGTTTGAGTTAATAGTTTGATTTTTTCTGTAGGCCAATTTTGAGAAGATTGAAAATGAACTGAAGGAAATCAACACAAACCAGGAAGCTCTGAAGAGGAACTTCCTGGAACTGACGGAATTAAAATTTATACTTCGCAAAACTCAGCAGTTTTTCGATGAGGTCAGACTATTGTTTCTTTTAGTATTTGAGCAGCTGGTATGATACCCGCACAAGTGGGCCATATTTTTATTCCAATAATTATTTTAATTTGCTAGTTTGAAAGCAATACCATTTTTACACCCTGTTTTAGTTGAACAAATATCAGATTATGTTCCATTTTTCATGCAGTACACAGCCAGCCATGGTTTTGTATATTTTTGCATTTTCTGCAATTTTTCATCTCAAGATGGGAAAAGGAATCCTAAAGGAGTTGTATAAACGTAGTTAGTTAAAATTTTTACATTGTATTTTAAGGTAAGTAAATACTTAAGGTTAAAGTTGAAGCAACAAGAAACATTTGGTTATACATGAAATTATAACAAAGGCTAACTCTCCAAACCTTTTGTCATCAAATTTAAATTTTTATTTTCTGTTTGCTTATCAACCTTTGAGCACATTTTTAAGTACTTCGGATAGCACATGTCACACTTTAATTTTTAAAGAGGTTTTCCTTATGTTGTATGGAAATATTGGTAGGAATTCTTGGATTTTCACATAAACACAACTGCATTACCTTATCGGGAAAAATGTTAATAAGCCCTTGGGTTGAAAATGTAGGTGACTAAGCTGCCAGTGACGGCTTGCTGAGGTCACCCCATGGAAAGGATTTGGAACAAGGCTTTTAGAAGGCTTCTTTCTCCTGATTAAACCTGGGGAGGAGTCTTACTCTCCATTTTGGCCTGGATGTGCTTTTTCTGATGGCCTAGGATATGGATAACTCTCTTTTTTACAAATGTCTTTGCCACCAGATTAGCAACATCAGGCACGTCAAAGATTGTTCCAGTCACTGTTCGGTGTGCCTTTTCATAAAGTTCTTTATTTCCTTTGCTTGACAAAAAAATTGTGGCAAAGCTTTTAAAAAAATAGAAGGCCCTATTTAGTTAGTGTCTCATATGTTCTCAGTTCTACTTTTAATTTCTGTCTTTTGAGGAAAGAATAGCTCTCCATAGTACTCTAGACTGGAGCAGGGGTTTGCCAACCAGCAGCATTAGCCTCACCTGGGAACTTGTCAGAATGCAAATTATCAGTCCCCACCCCACACTTTTTATATCAGAAACTCTGAGGGTGGGCCCCAGCAATCTGTTTTTACAAGGTGATTCTGAGGCACCCTGGTTTGAGAAACACCGGGCTAGAGACAGCTGAAGATGTGCTACATTCCTCAGTAACTAAGGATTTGACTCAGAGAAGCCGTGATAATTAAAAAGATCTGCTGGGGAGAGGGAAAGGGGAGAAGCTCCTATGAATTTAATTGCCTGGTCCTCTTAAGAATCAGAATCTGGCTAAGTATCAAGAGAGGTTTGGTGTGAATATTCAGCTTGCTCACTGAGTTTTGAATTTTGAGACTGATGGTAACTTATTTGACCAGCCCCCAAAGTCACATTAGAGGGCGTGGGACAGTGTGATTAACTCTTTCGAAGTGTTTCAGGCCTTTTGCAACAGGCATGACCACTTATGCCATATGGTCTTAAGGAACAAATAATCTGGAATTCGAGTATGCTCACTGCCTAAACATTATTGTATTTATATTCCTTAATTCACTGAGCATTTGATGAACACCTACTCTTTGTGAGGCATAAGATGAGTAAGACGTGGTCCCCATGTTCAGGGAATATATCACTTAGTCGTATCAGGAAATATCCCCGCACACAGTGCCTTCTTGTGCTCACAGATGGGTGCCTTTCTAAATGTGTCCAAGCTGCTGCCCACAATCCGGTGTAAACCTGGCCTCAAGATCAAAGCTTAGCTACTTTTTTTAACATCATGTGGGACTAAATTCTTTTGCTTTCTCCCACTTTTTTCCCTTTTGATATAGCCTTTAGTTTACTGCTGGGATGTTGCTGACGTATATGAAAATGTCTTTCATAACCAACTGAGTTTAAGGATTGGACTGGCTTTGTATCTAGTTCATTCTGGGAGAAATTCTGAATAAAGACTAACAAATGGTCTCCCTTCAGGGAAATAGTTATTTAAATAGTTAATTTTAGAATTAAAAAAATAGTAAATACAAGGGGAACCACTTGGAAAGATGATGTAAGGTTTTAAAATCGTAAGTTTTGGATTTAGGAATTTTCTTTGTGATTTTTAAGTCTAAACATGAAATGCCCATCCTGATAAGGCAGGCTTTACGTCTCCATGACCTTCTGTGCCCTGCCGTGGTGGGTTGTTTGCCCCTCCTACTCATGCAAAACTTTTGCTTTTTAATCTCCGGAAGTACTTTTGGACTAGAGGCCAGGCTATGAGAGGTTCTGCTGCTGCTTTTGTCATCAGCCCCTCTCATTCCTAGCACCCTCACCACAGTGCAGAAAGTCTTCTGGCAAGAGCCACACTGCCTTCCTTTCCTCTTCTCTTCACTCTCACTGGCAAGAGTCCGTGTCTTGCCCTGCTTTTGCTGAACAGGAGACAAAGCCTCACAGAGCAGCATGTCTGCATGTGCAAGTGCGAGTGTTAAATAATGCAAAAGATAAGGAAACCTGGACTCTTAAATCTCAGGAACTTAGGTTTTTCATGAGATTTTCTTCCATGCCTGAAATTATGATATTTGCAAATGGCCTAAAACACTACCAATTTTAAATCCTTTTTTATATGATTTGGTGAATATGATCACTAATTTCTAATAATGAGTTAGCAGGAAAAGGCTAAATCAGAAAATGATTCTTTCCATCTTTAGGCATATGGGTTATGATTGGCAGGGTGTGTAGAAGGGGAAAAGTAAACATATGTTGAATATTCTTATGATTTAAGATGATTACAGATTCGACTTAGCCAATTCTTATCCAGAGCATTTAAAATGACTTGTTAATGATTATCCTTTTCTCAGTCTTCTTGCTTATGAAGAACTGTAAGAGCTGGAGAGATTTCTCTGCATCTTTTACCATAAGCACCATAGCATATGAGAACGTAAAGAAGACTGGAAAAGTAATGGTTAATGGCATGCAGATTCTTGCCTTACTTTCCCTCTGAGTTTTCCACCCATCTGCTTTCTTTACTTTTCTTTCCCATCTGCCATCTCCTTCCAGGCTTGGGTGAATACCGTAGGTGATGAAATGTAATTTCTGTCTAAAGTAGGTGGAAGTACAAGTGTTTGTTCTTGGTAATTAACGTAGCTTGAACTGGATGTGCTGCCTCTGCTTAAGTGTGGACATAGAGCTACTGAAGTTCTGTGACTTCCTTTTTCAAGGCATGGTTTCAGTATTCTGATGGGGGAAGGGGTAAGCCAAAGGGCATAGCAGGTAATTAGAGGAACAGTGGCAGTGTTGTTATTGTTATTAGAGGAACCAGATTAGGATTTAGATACTCGATGATGTGCTTTTAGAGATTGCTTTAAAGGCCCTCAGTTAGTGGCTCTGGTCATCTGAGTTTCCCATCAGGCACAATTATTTTATTTAAAAATTGTTTAACTTTTTCTCTAAGATTTAGGGTTCTTAAGTATGAGGTAGTGAAATTAGTAATTAGAATATTATTGCAATTTATTTCTATTCAACTTTAATTCTGTTGGTTTTTTTATACCCAGAGAGTCCCAGATACAGTCTTTGGAGTAGTCTAGTTGCCAAGTGCTAGTTGCTATTCCATCAGTTGTCCCCTTTAGAGCACATCTGTTTTGCACTGAGTCTGATCTTCAGGGTTTACTTAATCCAGGTCTTGTGAGCTGTGCACGGAAGGAGGCGGGGGTCTTGTGAGTAGCAGTCAGTTTCAGTGATTTGTGCCAAGGGATGTCCCAAGAGCAAGTTGAAATGCTGTAGTCGTCTGGATCCTCAAAACTAGTTGCCTGTGGCTTGCAGTCAGATGATTCGATTTTAAGTAGAAACAAAAAGAGCCCCCTAAACTTCCATATGACAGCGAGTGGTAACCTGTGGCCCCATTATCTCTTCTTCAACTTTTCCAAATCTCATGATAGTATTTTTCTGCGTTTCTGGTGTATTCAGTGCCTGCCCTTCCCTTTTTTGTTTTTTTTAAATCAATGTTGAGTCTGCTTCTAGAATTTGCTTCCCGAAACAATTGCTTTTCACTTTTTTAGGCTTTCAGACTTACCATCTGTTTGGTTGGTTGGTTGATTTACTTATTGAGGAAGATTAGCCCTGAGCTAACATCTGCTGCCAATCCTCCTCTTTTTGCTGAGAAAGATTGGCCCTGAGCTAATATCCATGCCCATCTTCCTCTGTTTTTTATATGTGGGATGCCTGCCACAGCATGGCTTGATCAGCGGTGTGTAGGTCCCTGCCCAGGATCCGAACCAGCGAACCCTGGGCCAGCAAAGCAGAACATCCGAACTTAACTGCTGAGCCACCGGGCTGACCCCTACCTCTGGTTTATACTCAGTTTTTTCCTCCCTCTTCTACCGTTACATTAATGATTTTATCAAGTGAGTTTCCCAATATGGCACTTTTTGATAGCAGGGTTGACAGGAGTAGAATCAAATGGGAATTTGGAATGAAAGTGATAGAAAAAAATTGTCCTAACTTTTTGTATAGTTTTGCTTTTGAAAAGGAAGATTGTTCTGGCTTACTTCTAGTCTTTGGTCAAACAAGGAGTGCGTTGGCTATTACGGTTGGCTAGATCAGGCAGTCGAGAAGTCAGTTGGCCTCTGTTTTGTTTCCTTTCTGCTGAAAATAAAAGGTGGTCAGATGTGTAGCTTAGAGGGAGACTAGAAATAGAGACCTACATCTGAGAAAGCCCCTCTCCTTCATTTCATTGTATAAACTGTCATGGTGGAAATCATTTTAAATCTAAACAAACCAGCCCGTGAGCTCTATATTGGCTTATAATCTGTTACTTTTCTTCACTTTACTTGTTTTAGATTGTTGCCTTAAGCTGTGTTCTCGAGAATCCTTAAACTGTAAAGCCTACATGAACATTTTAACGTTCTTAGATACGTTTTCACTTTTTCTTGCCTTTACGGATGCAGTGGAGGCCCAGGCCTGCTATTGTGTTTCTTATCCTTTTGGAGAAAGAAATACTCTTTAAATCCCATGATTTAGAGCATTTTGTATAGTGGCCATGCTGAAACTTGTCACGTTCTGAGTTTTTAAGAGCGTCAAAAACCTAGGTGTCTGGAGATGCCCCTTTGGTCTTTCTCCAGATCACAGTGTGTTTAAGATGGTGATGGGGCCTTCCTTTCTTCCTTGGAAAGAGAGTCTCCATCTTTCACATTCTCACACAGGGAAAATTCTAGTTTGTAGCCACCTAGAAATTTGATGTTGAGAGTATTTGCAGAGCTGCCTTGTTTTTGCTCGGAAGGAAGGAACACTTCAGCTCATCCACATGCAGAGGTAGTTCCTGGTACTTTGATGGCTCATTCAGGGAAACCTACAAGGTAAAATGGCTTCCACCAAGTAACAGATTTATATATATCACCATCATTTAAAGTTTTTTCTTTATTCCTTATTCCTTATTTCTAAAACCATTTCCCCAGATGCTTTACTGGGGCTGTTCTGCTTTCTTTACCTCTTGTTTCTTTCCTTTGTTTTCTTCTCCATTCTTATCTTCCTATTGTGGGTATGTCTTCTCTTTTGGTGTTTTTTTTCTTTTTTCATCTTTATTTTCTGAACTTATCTCCTGGTTCCTCGTTCCCTGCATGCCACTAACTATTTTCATTAGATATTAATTGATTTGTGAATTCAGGCTGAATTGCATCATCAGCAGATGGCGGATCCAGATCTGTTGGAAGAGTCCTCGTCCCTCTTGGAGCCAAGTGAGATGGGAAGAGGCACACCTTTAAGACTTGGGTAAGTACCACTCCTATCCCCTGTACACAGTGTGGTCATGCTCATTTTTGCTGTTCAAAAGAGCAGTGAGGCTGAGCATTCACTTGCTCCCAGGATACACTCTCTTCTTAGCCTGTTGAGAGGTGTTCCTAAGTCACTTTGGATTCAGTTCCTGAGTTGTTCTGTCAACCCTCTGCTGGGTCCAGGAATAAGACTTGACAGCCCTTTTGCCATAACAATGCATAGCCTCACATTTGTCATCTTTGCCCCCCTCCTCTCACTTGCCTTCTTTGTCTTAAAGCCTTCCATCCCATGGCATGGAATAGAGTTCCCTATCTGGCTCTTCTCCCCACAGCTTCGTGGCTGGTGTGATTAACCGGGAGCGCATCCCTACTTTTGAGCGCATGCTTTGGCGGGTGTGCCGGGGGAATGTATTCCTGCGACAGGCTGAAATCGAGAACCCCCTGGAGGATCCTGTGACTGTAAGACAAGGAAATTGCGTCCCATGGAGTAGGTCTTGTAAAGGGAGCTCAAAGCAGTAACACAACGTGGTGCCACCTGAATCTGACCCTCCCACAGAGGAGCCGTTGTGTTTACCCCTGCTTTGACCTGTGAATTTGAAGGATTGTTCTTTCCCTCTTAACTTCTGTCATATGTGTACATATGATGTATACGTGACATATACGTTTTCAAGTCTTACTCATTAGGTATTATTTTGATTGGAAATATGTTTTTTCCAGTTATTTTAACTTTTATTTGGAAGCTTATTTTTAGCTTTATGTGTTTTCTGTTACTTATCTGGGACCAAAAGAAAATTAGCTTTCTATGAAAGTTAATTTAAAGCAAGACATCTGGTTCCAAGTTTGATAATATCCATGTGCAAAAAGAGGAGAGGGAGCCAACCCTGTGGCAGAGTGGTTAAGTTCGTACACTCCGCTTAGGCGGCCCAGAGCTTCGCAGGTTCAGATCCTGGGTGCAGACCTAGTACCACTCATGGAGTCACACTGAGGCGATGTCCCACATAGCAGAGCCAGAAGGACCTACAACTAGAATATACAGCTATGTATTGGGGGGCTTTGGGGAAAAGGAAAAAAAAGAAGATTGGCAACAGATGTTAACTCAGGTGCCAATCTTTTTTAAAAAAAAAGAAAGGAGAGATTTCCTAAACTGTGATCTTTATAAGTTGATGAAATTTTAGTTCTTAAGGCTTTTTGTCTACTTGTTTATTGGGAAATTTAGAGACTTAGTTTAAAAATATACATTGTGCAAGATAAGATGATCTTCCCCACCTGATGCTTTAGAAAAAAGGAATGGCTTAAAATCTTGGCATTTGACGTAAAGGGACAGAGTTGTTAACATAAACCTACATTAAGTGTGGTGAGTCCTGATTTCAGGAATCACAAGCAAAGAAGATTAAATGTTCTGCAAAAAATTTACTTCACTTTTTTTTTTCCTTTTTAAGGACAATTAGCCCTGAGCTAACATCTGCTGCCAATCCTCCTCTTTTTGCTGAGGAAGATTGGCCCTGAGCTGATATTCGTACCCATCTTCCTCCATTTTTTATATGTGGGACGACTGCCACAGCATGGCTTGATAAGTGGTGCATAGGTCCGTGTCCAGGATCCAACCGGTGAACCCTGGGCCGCCAAAGTGGAACACATGAGCTTAACCACCGTGCCACCAGGCTGGCCCCTACTTCACTTTTTTTATATTAGTATTATTTAGAAGCCTGGAGTTGGCTTTTTCTGTTTCAGATTATCTCTTGGATTTCTTAAATTAGTATTCTTTGCTCTACCTAAGAAGGAAGATATAATTGTGAGACTTCTCAGAATGGGTGGGTCATGCAGCTAAAAATGATGTGTCTGTATGGTTTTTATTCTCAGTCCTGAGCAGGAGTGTGGAAACACTTGGGTTACAGTGAGCCCCCTCACCGGAGGAGCACTTTTTCAGCCTTACTGAAAGCTGTCCTTGGGTGTAGAGACATTGCAGTCTGCAGTCACACCTCATGTGAAACTGTTCTCAGGAATATTCAGCCGGGTTTCTGGGCAACAGAAACATTATTTTATCAACAAATCAAGGAAAGAGGGAGTCTTGAGAGCTACAGCAGAACAGCTGCCCAAAGAATGTGCTCTAGTTTATTCCTAGACAATTTAGGAATTTAAGACTCTTCAGCCTTATTTTCTTTATTCTTTATCCCTTATATCCCTTTAAAGTTTGTTTGTGACATCTTATTATAAATGCTCTATAGTAGTATGAGAAAATAAGGCAACTAGAGACAATCCTGATTAACACCCAGTGTAGCTTATTTTTCTGATCTTTCCATCTAGTCCTTGCACCAGACTTCAGGTGTAAACTTGGTATTCGAAATTGCCTTCCTCCTGTCGCCTAAAGTCTAAATTAGCGTGAATCATGATTCTGCGTCAGCATTCTTCCCAGCTACTCAGTTCCTTGTAGTTATTCAGTCCCCTTTATCTGGGAATTTCTAAGCATGCGACAGGCAGGAATGGCTTCCTTCTCCTTTCTGTCCTCTATACTTTTGTCATTCAGGCAACATAAGATTTGATGTTGAATTGGTAAATAGGGCCAAGTTGTGCTAAGAGGAGAATCATCTTAGCATCCATCTCAAGCTCCTCATTGAGTTTAAAAACAAATGCAGGAAGATTTTTGTGAATTAGAGATCACAGGGCAAATGTTGTAGTGGAGCTTAAGAAATGGTTTGAGGAGAGTGGTTAAAGTACAGGGTTGCCATATCCTTAAAGGATTTCTGTTGTTTGTGTATCACCAAGAAAGTTAAGTTATTTAAGAAGTTTTCGGGGGCTGGCCCAGTGGCGCAGTGGTTAAGTTCGAACATTCCACTTCTCTGCGGCCCGGGGTTCGCCGGTTCAGATCCCGGGTGCAGACATGACACTGCTTGGCAAGCCGTGCTATGGCAGGCGTCCCACATATAAAGTGGAGGAAGATGGGCACCGATGTTAGCTCAGGGCCAGTCTTCCTCAGCAAAAAGAAGAGGATTGGCAGCAGATGTTAGCTCAGGGCTAATTGTCCTCAAAAACAAAGGAAAAAAAAAAACAAGTTTTTTCCACATTAGAAGCCTGAACTCTCGGTTTTTGGTTTGGGGCCTAGGGTGACTACGTGCACAAATCTGTGTTCATCATTTTCTTCCAAGGCGATCAGCTGAAAAACAGAGTCAAGAAAATCTGTGAAGGGTAAGAGAAGCGTGCCTGCCCCGAGGGCACAGCCACGTACCTAACAGAATAGTGAAACACAAACCCTTTTCTTCTACCTGGACACAGTGAATAGATCTTTTAATAATGTTAGAGCTATTTTAAACAATTAGAAATAGCCTAAGTTCATTTTTTAAAAGTACCATCAAAACCACAGTTTCCTTTCCTTGGAAAAAAGTAATTAGGACTCATGGTTTATAAATGCTATGTTGTTCTGGGACAGTGGGTCTGCACACCCAGCAGTGTGCCATAGGCACTGTTCTCTTAAGCTTTGCTGAAATTCTGCCCATAAGATCTTTTTTCCGTGCCATTTGTCTCCAATAATTTATGATATAACTTGTAATACTGGCTTTTTTTTTTAATCTAAGGGAATTCAGTAGTTTCAGAGAATGTCAGCATAGTTCAGATTTTGCTGTTCTGTCTGTAGGCCACTTCCCATAAATAATGATTATTGATTAGTGCATCAGTCTGAACTAATCCTGTTTTGGTTCTTCTAGTAAATTAGGATTACTTTATGAGATTATTTAAATGGCATAGGTTAAGAAATTTCAGTGTTTCTCAGGCTGTGTCTGTACGTTCCAGGTTCCGAGCCTCACTGTATCCCTGTCCTGAGACGCCACAGGAGAGGAAGGAAATGGCTTCTGGAGTTAATACCAGGATTGACGATCTCCAAATGGTACAGAGGGCTGGAGGGAATTTGTTGTTGTGAAATGCTACAACAGAAGACTGTTCCCCTTCCTTGAAACACTATCAGTTAGTCTATTAGGCACCTGTAGCAGCCCAGGGTACCAAGAAAAGAAATATCCGTAGGTAATATGTCTATCTGGGAGCTGGGGAAAAGTTTCAGGGAATGACTGTTAAAAATAGCATTAATCAGGGCTGGCCTGGTTGTGCAGTGGTTGGGTGCGCACGCTCCACTTCGGTGGCCTGGGGTTCACTGGTTCAGATTCCGGGTGCGGACATGGCACCACTTGGCAAGCCATGCTGTGGTAGGCGTCCCACGTATGGAGTGGAGGAGGATGGGCACGGATGTTGGCTCAGGGCTGGTCTTCCTCAGCAGAAAGAAGGCTTGGCAGTAGATGTTAGCTCAGGGCTAATCTTCCTCAAAAAAAAAAAGGCATTAATCAGGGCCAGCCCTGGTAGCCTAGTGGTTAAGTTCAGTGTGTTCTGTTTCAGTGGCCTGGGTTCGGTTCCTGGGTGCAGACCTAGACCACTCATCTGTCAGTGGCCATGATCTGGTGGTGGCTCACGTACAGAAAGAGGAAGATTGGCACCAGATGTTAGCTCAGGGCAAAGCATTCTCAGCAAAAAAAAAAAGCATTAATCATCCTCAAATGAGACAGAAATTCTATGCCTCTGAAATCGTTGTTGAGAGTATACAATTCCCCTCCTGGTGAATCTGAGATATTCTTTTTTCCTTCTTTTTTTTTAAAGATTGTCACCTGAGCTAACATCTGTTGCCAATCTTCTTCTTCTTCTCCCCAAAGCCCCCCAGTACATAGCTGTATATTCTAATTGCGAGTGCCTCTGGTTGTGGCATGTGGGACGCCGCCTCAGCATGGCCTGATGAGCTGTGCCATGTCCACGCCCAGGATCCAAACTGGTGAAACCCTGGGCCGCTGAAATGGAGCGCACGAACTTAACCACTCAGCCACAGGCCTGGCGCCTGAGATGTACTTTATAATTTAAAAAAATATGATTAGTTCAAAAAAAAAATCAAGTAATACAGAAGTACATATAAAGTCAATTCTGCCCCCTCACACAGACTCTCCCCCTCCAGAGGCAGCCACTCCTAACAGCTTGGTGTGTATTCTTCTGGTCACCTTGGATCTTAACCACACAGGTTAGCCAAAGAGCCCTGGTGTAACTCTCGTACCCAAGAAGAGATTTCGTGCGATTTTTACCAGATCGCAGTGTGTGTGGCGTGCACGCACCATGGTTGTCACAGGGTTCTAAGGAGGGAATCATGATATATGTGTACATGGAAGGAAAAGGGTGGCCAGTTGGAGCTTTGATCCCTGTTGAAAGAATGTGATGATTGCCCCCTTGAAACAAAAATAAACATATTCAATCCCAAAGGCAGTTCTTTCCAGGAGTGGCAGAATTGTCAGAGATAGGTTGTAACTCCCATTTCAACTCCCTTTCTCATCTTTCCCTCGAACGTCTATTGTATGTGACCCACCGGCTTGACCTATTGCCAACTCCCTTAGATACATTTATCTGTTTAACCAAGGGAAGAGAGATTTTTAGAACTGCTGGTGGGTGATAGGCCATGTTAGTACATTCTGGCTTCTAGGGCTTTCTTATCCCTTCCCAGGCTATGGGTAGATTTTAAAGAGCATATGCAGTCGTCGTTATAAATGACCAGACTTTGACTTTTGAAACACCTAGCTGTGTGCACTGAAACTTTAAAAAGGAATTGAATACCAAGGAGTAAGATGTGGTGCTGGGAGACAGGGAAAGAGACAAGCAAATAGAATGTTGCTTGCAAGTTTATTTAGCATCTTTCCAGAAGTTTTAATAGTAATTGTAAAATTGTCAGCCAGAAGGAGAGAAAGTAGCTTTGTTCCTTTATTCTCAAGTGATACAAGAGTTTCCATAGCAGGCCGTGGCATTTTTTTCCCGCTATGGAAGTCACCTTCTACTGCCCAAGACAGTTTTTCAGGGAGTAGCTGCTGCTTTTTTTCTGTACTGACTTGAAGAGCCAGCTGTGATGAAGACTTAAGCTAAAATGGTTAGCACATAGCTTTTTCCTCTTCAAAGAAATGTGGAGATTTAAGATAGATTCTCATGCAGAAGTGTGATTGGTGGGTTGCTTGCCCAGTTTTGGCTTAGCCCCTCTCCTGCTATTGAAATCTTTAATATTTAACGATAAATAAGGCAGTAGAATGTAAAATGTCCCTGCCCTTTCCTCCCACTCTAGTCTTGGCAGTGTGGTTCCTCTGCAGGAAATCTGTACTGCTTTCCAAAGGGTCAGCACTGAAACTTTTTCCACTTAAGAAACCTGACAGAAAGAGAAAGCCCTGTCCGCTCCGTGATGACAGTCTATGTGGCAGTCTACATCTCCTCTAGAGCCCATGGGTCCTCCTGACCCCGCAGTGTCTCCTCTCTCCTGTTCCCGGGCACGGAGTCTTTCTTCCTATCGGCAGACGATGGTGTTCAGCACTGCCTCTTTCCCACCGGTCTCTGATGCTGGCTAATGGTCAGGGGATTCTGCAGCTTCTGTTCTTACGTATGGATTTATTACTTTGTCAGTTCCTGGGCCGGTCAGTTCTGGGCTGACTTCTTCAAGTCTGAGTTACAGGCTCCATGTGGAAAGTCATCACTCTTTAATGATCCAAGTAAAAGCCAATGACCTACATTGTTGTGCCATGGATTTGGTGATAATAAATATAGAGAGAAAAGCTAAAAACCGTGTTCTCAGGTTTCTCTTCACCTTGAAGCTAAATGAAGATGAATGTTAATAGCTAGAACTCTAATTTCTTGTAATTTGGAAAAAAAAAAAAAAAGAGAAAAAGAAAAAGCCCATTCTAGCCAGAGGAATTAAAAAACAGAAAACAGATCACTGGTGACCCTTTTCAGAAAGACGTGCCTCTTTGCCATTCATGTCCTGAGATCTAAGACTAATGTTAGAAGGATTCCTCCCTTGTTCTTTATCTCCCAAAAGGTTCTGAATCAAACAGAAGATCACCGCCAGAGGGTTCTGCAGGCAGCTGCTAAGAACATCCGTGTCTGGTTCATCAAAGTACGGAAGATGAAGGCCATCTATCATACTCTGAACCTCTGCAATATAGATGTAACCCAGAAGTGTCTGATTGCGGAGGTCTGGTGCCCCGTCACTGACCTCGACTCCATCCAGTTTGCACTCAGAAGGGGCACGGTGAGTCCCCCACAGCCAGCAGTGCAGCGTATGGCCAAGAAGAGAAGTTCCCATCAACAGTAACATTAACCAGTTACATTTGTATGGCATTTTTACTTTCAGAAATATGCTCATCTTGTACTCATCTTGTATCCTGACATTACATTTCTTATATCCTTCTTTTCCAGATACGGAAACTGCAGTTAAAAAAAGTTTAAATGACTTCATCATCATATACCCGTAAATCTTCAGGGTAGCTCACAACCAGAACATCAGTTTCCTGATCCACTCTCTGTCCCTTAGACTACTTTTGTAATGTAACACTAGCAGTCCTGTTCAATAGTTAGAGCTGCTCTGTGCAGGGCACTGATCTAGGCACCATGAGGTACAGAGATGTAAAAAAATATGCCTTCAAGTGTCCTACGATTTACTTGGAGAGGCGGACATGCAGTTACAAGACAGTCTTTGCTAAGAGTGGTGTATGTGTGTGGAGGGAGGGTGCTAGCTTTTCCAACTAAGATGATCAGAAAAAGCTTCAAGAAGAAGGTGACGTTTAATTAGGGCTTTGAAGAACGAGTAAAATGTCCATTGGCAATGACAAGAAGAAAGCAATATGGACAAAGGCAGGAAGTACAGGGCAACTGTGCATGTTTGGGCAGGAACAGGAATTTTAATGGGTGAGCCGAAAGAGTAGGAGGTAAACCTGGATCAGGTAGATTGGAAGCTAACTATGAAGGGTTTTTAAGTACCAGGTTAGAAGTCTAAATTTTATTCTAGAGGAGGTAGAGAGGCGTTGAAGTTACTTAGCAGTGAAAGGACATGATCAAAGCGGAGTTTTGGAGGGGTCATCCATTGATAGTGTCTAGGTTGGGTTGGGGATTAGAGTGTCGATAGGTGGGGGTTCACTTAGGAGGTTATTGTAAACGTAGAGTAGTAAGCGATAAGGACCCTAGGGTAAGACCTGACAATGGGGAAAAAATAGTGATGAATTTGTGAGATATTCTGAAGGAAGTATCAATAGGTATACCTGGTTTCTAGCAACCTGCAGGAGAAATACAAGGAGAAAAATTTAAAATGTTTCTGAGGCATCAAAGCTGAGGTGCTGGTAGAATAATGGTTCCATTAATGGAAGTGAAAGTTAAGCAAGAGAAACTTATTGAGAGGGGAAAGATGGTAAGTTTGGTTCAATCACATTGAAGGGATGGATTGAAATTCACATGGTAGGGGCCGGCCCGGTGGCACAGTGATGAAGTTTGCACTTTCCGCTTCTTGGCGGCCCAGGGTTTGCTGGTTTGGATCCTGGGTGTGGACATGGCACCGCTTGGCAAAAAGCCATGCTGTGGTAGGTGTCCCACGTATAAAGTAGAGGAAGATGGGCACAGATGTTAGCTCAGGGCCAGTCTTCCTCAGGAAAAAGAGGAGGATTGGCAGTAGTTAGCTCAGGGCTAATCTTCCTCAGGAAAAAAAGAAAAGAAAAGAAAAGAAATCCACATGGTATTATCAAGAAGATAATGGGATGGGTTCTCAATAGAAAGGGCAAAATGAAAGAAGGGGGGTTCATGAGAGTGGGAGGGAGTGAGACCTCCAAGAGAGAAAATAAGGAGGCTAAAGATAGAACCTTGGGAGCCCTACAGTGTTATAGGCAGAGGAGGAAGAGCCAGAAAAGGAGTGGTTAGTGAGCAGGAGGGGAACTCCTAAGGAAGACAGATTTTCACCAAAGAAGAGGAAGATTTCCAGTGTTGGGGCTTGTATATAGGAGAACAGACCTTTGGATCTGGTGATGAGCCAACCCCTTTCAATAAGCGTGCTCAGCTAGACTGCAGAAGATTAGGGAGTTAAGTGTAGGTGGCGAAGGAGCAGAGTCAGAGAATAGCTTCGCTTCTCCCATAAGAGAAAGAGTGAACAAGGATATTTATAGAACAGCAAGTAAGGATGTCTTCCGAAAAGGAAGTACCACGTTTTCTTTGGTTAAACATTTTAGAATCAAATTTTTTTCATAGTAAGGAAATTCTTCCTAAGACTGCATTTAAATCTTTCATTGTAAATTTTGTACCTAGTTGGAGTTTCCCTAAAGACTGGGAAAGACTAAGATATAATTTACATAAAATGAAACACACGTATTTTATGTGTACAGTTTGATGAGTTTTGATAAATATATACACTTGTGTAACGACCGCCACAGTTAGGAGGATAAACTAATTTTGATATATGTGCTTAATGTTTCCCAGGAACACAGTGGCTCCACCGTGCCCTCCATTTTGAACAGGATGCAGACAAACCAGACTCCCCCAACCTATAACAAAACGAACAAGTTCACTTATGGCTTTCAGAACATAGTAGATGCTTATGGAATTGGAACTTACCGAGAGATAAATCCAGGTGCAAAAGCTTGAATCTTTCCCTCTAGAGGTTTTGTTGTTTGTTGTTTCTTTTAATGCCTTACTTTAAATCCTATTGAACAACTGGATTAAAATTAAAGATGTTGTGAAGACCTCAGCTCCAGTGTAGTCCCTGTAAGAGGTGCCTGTTTGGACATGGAGAGTTGAGATTTCTCTTTGAGTGGCACTCCTGTAAGAGGAGGATTTATAGGAATTTTATAGGAGTGACCTCAGTGCATTGGATTCTTCTGTGCACCCTCACTGCTAGGAAACACTTGGCCTTCTCTAGCACGCTGTTTGCAGGAACTGCTTTAAGCAGAAAGTTTTTTCCAAGATATCTGATATTTTAAGGTGGCTTCCCTGTTCCAGTTTGTACAGAGAAAATATAGCAGTTGTTGACTGTTTTAGGCACAAGGCAGATTTTTCCTCTGTTTGGAGAGTTAATCATTAAATCAAGAGTCTGGGAATTCATTTTCAGTTGGGCCTCCTGGGGGACCTGCTTTGCTCTTGGTTCTGGGCTTTCTCCCACTTAACCAGTAGCTTTATTCAGCTGGTTGCTGCACAGGAGAAGAAAGCTGGCCTGCCCCAGAGCAGTGTCCTGGGGGTTAGAAAAGAGGAAGAACCAACCACGCTGTTGCCAAGGCTCGAGACAGGACTTTCATTTCCTGTGTTCTTTGTTTGAAATGCCAGCAGTAGCTCAAATGCCATCAGAGCTGATTCGTGGGGGTATGCAGATCCTGCAGTGGAAGATTTTCTCGGGGAGTCCGTCTGAACACCAGCTTGGGAATAGTCACCTTATATTGATCTTAGAGTATGGAGGGGAATGTGATCTGTGGGGAGTTGCTGCAGTTTTCTGTACCTTGTCTTTTTCTTTCTTTGTTTTTTTTTATAGCTCCGTACACCATCATCACTTTCCCTTTCCTGTTTGCTGTGATGTTTGGGGACTTTGGCCATGGCATTTTGATGACTCTTTTTGCTGTATGGATGGTGTTAAGGGAGAGCCGGATCCTCTCCCAAAAGAATGAGAATGAGGTAATGTTTAAGTTACATCTGAATAAGTTATGGACTGAAACTTTATAATTTCTCAAGCATTCATTATGAAAATTATGATCTGGAAGTCTTTTATCCATGAATCTATAGAGAAGGTATAGAAACTATTTAGAGAGTAGTGAAGTTATGTTCATTTTAAAACTAAAGAGGCCACACGCTGTGAAAGTGAATTTCTTGTTAAAGTTGTATTTTGGTCTTTACTTCAAGCTCTCTGACCCAGGATAGGATAAATTATGAGAGAAAGGGTCTGCTGTATTCTAAATAACATTGTCACAATGTGGGCTGTAGTGAGTTCATGTCATTGACTTCTTTCTTCTGGCTCCCAGATGTTTAGCACTGTGTTCAGTGGCCGATACATAATTCTGTTGATGGGTGTGTTCTCTATCTACACTGGCCTGATCTACAATGATTGCTTTTCCAAGTCTCTTAATGTCTTCGGGTCATCCTGGAGTGTGCGGCCGATGTTCACTCTATATAATTGGACGTAAGTTGCAAAGAAGGTATAAGTCAAAGCTTAGTACTTTCATGTTAAGCTCTGATTTTATGGACAAGAGGTAAAGCAACACTTCTTTAGGAAGGGGTTGACAGTGTCTCTGTTTTAGAAGAATGTAGTATCCCCTCTTATTTATACTCCAGCCTGGGAAGTTCTGTATGTTTTGTTCCGCAGTATCAAGGAACTGAGACTATAAATTAGGCACGTTGATTCTTTTTGTAAATTAAAAGCAGATTCCCCAAATTCCCTACTTGGTTGCATATGTGTGTTTAATTTTTCTTTTTTGTTATCTCCAATCCCTTCTCATTCTCAGATGCCAGTCCCTTTTCTTTTATTGAAGAGACAAGATAGCTGTAGTAGTTCCTTTTGGCATCAGTTTCTGGACCCTAGAAATTTCCCTCTCTTGAAAAAAAATAAATGCAACTTTTCTCCTAACATGGTAGGGAGGAGACACTTCGGGGGAACCCTGTTCTCCAGCTGAACCCAGCTGTCCCTGGAGTTTTTGGTGGACCATACCCTTTTGGCATCGATCCAGTAAGAGCACTTCTTTTCTATATATCTAACACCAAATTTTTAAGCTGTAACTCTGAAGTGAGAGAGTTAAAGTGTAGGTGAATAGTTGTTTGGTTTTTAGTTAACATATTTTTGGGAAACCTTAGTACATCTGTCCAGACTACTTCACAGTCATAAGAGACCCAAGTGCCTTGGAAGCCAAATCATTTTCCCTGCACTCCTTATTTCTGAGGGAGCTAATAATATTGACTCTGGGAAGACTCATTTTTAAGACTCTTTCCCTTTATAATTTATTTCTATTTAACTTAGTTTGGTTTTTATTTTTAGCAGATGTTTTAACAAAGCAGAAATAGCTCTTTCCTATGGGTTTTAGATTTTCATTCTTATCTTTATGTACTTATAAAGACTTATCCCAGAGTTTAATTTTTTTTCAAATACTTAGGCAAATAAAGTGTGATCAAATCTTTTGTATGTATGCTTTAAAAGGTGGGGAGGGGAATTTAAGAATAAGCATTAGACAGTAAGGATTGCAAAATTCCAGAGGAAAAGTGGATCATTATGGGGCTGGAAAGATTAAGGTTTCTTGTAAAAAATGGCAATTACTCTGGCCTTTAAAAAAATTTTCAGGGGGGCCGGCCCTGAGGCCGAGTGGTTAAGTTTGCATGCTCTGCTTCAGCACCCAGTGTTTTGCTGGTTCGGATCCTGAGCGTGGACACAGCACTGCTCGTCAGGCCATGCTGAGGTGGCGTCCCACATGCCACAACTAGAAGGACAACAACTACAATATACAACTCTGTACTGGGGGGATTTGGGGAGAAAAAGCAGAAAAAAAAAAAGAAGATTGGCAACAGTTGTTAGCTAAGGTGCCAATCTTAGGGGAAAAAAAGTTCTTCAAACAAAAAAATTTCAAGGCCAGCCCTGTTGCGTGCGTAGTGGTTTAAGTTCAGTGCACTTGGCTGTGGTGGCCCAGGTTCAGTTCCTAGCCATGGACCTACACCACTTGTCAGCGACCAGGCTATGGCAGCAACCCACATACAAAATAGAGGAAGATTGGCATAGATGTTAGCTGAAGGTGAATCTTCCTCAAGCAAAAAGAGGAAAATTGGGAAGAGATGATAGCTCAGGGCAAATCTCCCTCAGGAAAAAAAAAAATTCAGATTGTTAGAGGTGAGGAATAGTGTATGCAAAACCATAGAGGTAGGGAAGTACAAAGTTAATTATTTTAATTATTGTAGAAGCTAATGTTATTGAAATGCTTACTATGGGCCAGGCACTGTACTGAGCCCTCAGCGTATCTGATTTATCCTCCAACAATTTTATCAGATAGCTACTGCTGTCCCTATTATACAGATAAGAAAACTGGGGCTTAGAAAGGTTTAATAACATTTCGCATGTGCCTTTAACAAATGTTCATTGAATCCCTATTGTCTGTAAGGCATAGTGCCTGCTGGGGGAAACACACAATTTTAAGACATAGCTCCTACCCTCGAGTATTTTGGAGTCTAATAATAATAATATTACTGCACATTTATATAGTGTTCTGTAGTTACAGAGGTTTTTTTTGCAGACATCCCATTTGATGCTTACAGGGTAAATGTTGAGTTTGAAGTGCCTGTGGGATGTCATGCCCATCAGGCAGTTGGAGTTGTAGAACTGAATTTCAGGTGTGACTGGGGCAGGAGAGAGAACCAGTCACAGGTTTTCGGATTAGGGGTCTCTGAGGGTGAGCTCTTCATGAAGAGGCCAGTTCAGGAAAAAAGATGCTGGGCTCGATGGTGGAAGAGCTGGCTTATCAGGCTACCGAGTTTGCACCTTAGCACAGAGATGACACTGGGGGTTCACGGGCAGTTTTGGCACAGGCAAATGACTGCATCAGTTAAGATTTCAGAAACATAATCTGATGGCCAAGTGGAGGCAGAAGAACTATCATGAAAATATTACAGGCGTACAGGCCTTAGGTGACAAAGCTTAAGGCAATTAATGTTTAAATGGAACAACAACAGCACAGGGATACAACTGGCAAAACACAGGCTCTGAGAACATCTGTAAGAGGAGAGCTGGAGGGAGAACCTGTAGATCAGAGACTGAAGAGCTGCATCAGCACTCACAGAGCACAGGCCTTATCTGGGCCCGACTTTGAAAAAATGAATCACAAAGAAAAATTTGTAGACAATCAGGGAAATTCGAATCTTTCATGATATTAAAGAATCATTAATTCTTTGGGGTATGATAACTGTATTGTGGTCATGTTTTAAAAATGAGGCCTTACCTTTTAGAGATCTTTACAGGTAAAATGAAATATTTACAGGTAAAATGATAGGATATCTGGATTTTGCTTGAAAATCATTTGGAGGTGGGGAGTGGGTTGGGGGTATGATGAAACAAGATTGACCGTGAGTTGTGGGTTAATAGTAATTGTTGAAGCTGGGTGATAGCTCCATGAGCTTTTTAAATACTCTTCTCTTAAGTATATGTTTATAATGTTCCATAATTTTTAAAAAAAGCTAGTTTTTAGAATAGGTGAGTATTTTTCCTTTTGAGAACTCTTTGTAATACCTTTTTGTTTTCTTGGGTTGTGACAGATTTGGAACATTGCTACCAATAAACTGACCTTCCTCAACTCCTTTAAGATGAAGATGTCCGTTATCCTAGGTATCATCCACATGATGTTTGGAGTCAGCCTGAGCCTCTTCAACCATATGTGAGTTGCTCTGTTTCTGTCATACGAATGCATAGTTTAGATAATGCTTTTGCCTAAAAAAATCATAACATCTTTGGGGGAGGGATTAATAACTCAGAACCCCGTTCTGCATTAAAGAAGTGCTTTTATAAAAATCTCATGTTCTTAAATGAGGTTTAATTAATATTAATCGCTTTACAATTTACAATTATAATTAAGATCTTTAAAAAAAAAGTATAATTTTCATCAGAATGAGTGGGTTATTTTTTTCCTTGATGTGTAACTCACATAAAATTATGAACTGTGGTCTCAGAATGTACTAGACTTCCTATTCTCTTCTCATGGGAGAATGGTGGGGGTGGTCCTGGAGCTGTTTGAAGTCCTAAAGTTGGGAAGTCATAGTGAATCCTGCTTGTCTCTGTTGCCTCCAGGGCTTCTGGCCATTGCTCCTTAGAGTGATAAAGAGAATCGAGGGAGCATTAGGTAGACAATCTAGTGAGTGCTTCACTTGGTGTAGGGGTGCCCCTGGGTCTGTGCTCCTTTAACACTTTTTTCTCTCTTCCTTTTTAGCTATTTCAAGAAGCCTCTCAATATCTACTTTGGATTTATTCCTGAAATCATCTTCATGACCTCTTTGTTTGGCTACTTGGTTATCCTTATTTTTTACAAGTGGACAGCCTATGATGCTCATACGTCAAAGAAAGCGCCAAGCCTTCTGATCCATTTCATAAACATGTTCCTCTTTTCCTATTCAGACTCTGGTAATTCGATGCTGTATTCTGGACAGGTGCGTCAACCCAGAGGTGGACTGTCTTAGGTGGTTATCCTAGGTCATGGAGCCAGATGTTTCTGTGACCCTAAAAAAGCCTTGAAAAATCCCTTTCTGTAGTATTTGGTTTTCAGTCTGTATATCCAGATCTAGATTCAGCCCATCCTCCTTATTTAGGAGGGTGTGCTATAATTTTTGTATCCAGAAAGGGTAGAATTTATAACTCTTATCCAAAGCTGACAATTCCTCAGCTTTGGCACAACATCTGCTAATTATTCTGAGAAACTGGCTAGTGCTATTCATAGATCAGTAAGAAAATACTGTTTTGGGGGAAATTTGTGCTAGAGTTAGAAACTACATGTTTGGTTAATGTGATGTGCCTTGTCCTTCTTACTTTGCAGGAAGGAATTCAGTGTTTCTTGGTAGTGGTTGCACTACTGTGTGTACCTTGGATGCTACTGTTTAAACCACTGGTCCTTCGCCATCAGTACTTGAGGAGGAAGCATTTGGTGAGTGTGTTTTTGTTGCTGAAAGTTACCAGATTTTTTTTTTAAAGATTAAGGCAGTTCCTCATTGGATATAATGAATTGTACATAAATCTATATGCTCTTAAAATGCATTTGTGTCATATCCCAGCATGAGCAGTGGACCTGCTGAAATCAAAAGAATATGTATGTGGTGATTGGACTCCTGGATTCAGCTTTGAGTAGCTGGGGTAGAGAGAACAAGTCACAAGTTTTTACCTTTCCTGGTCATGCTGTGCTCAGCAAGATCCAGGTCTGGGCCTGTCTAGCTGCAGCATCAATTAAGCGAGGCTGCGAGAGCCGCAGGTGGGTGAACCCACTCATGTGGTTTGCCTGGGCAACCACAGGGCTGACGCTGAGACATTTTCTTTTAAAATGAGACCATGATACTTTCACCAACCAAAACATCCGGGAAAAAGATTTGGTTTAAAGCATATTGATTTTTTTTCTTTTTAGAAAGCAACATACATACTTGTGCTTACTTGGTGTATGAGTGCATATGAAATCTACACGTACACGCATACACATACACACACACCCCTAAGTTGCCAAATGTTCCTTTCTGCTATGCAGTAATGCTTACTTATTACACTGCCTGGTAAAACCCAAAAGATCCTGTTGCATGACTGTCATACAGCTGTTAGACTATAATTCCTATTGGAGAGCAGCTGAGTTACAAGACCCTCCTTCTCCCTTTTCTGACCATCGTCATCCTTCCATGTACCCTCCATTCGTCTCCCCTTCACTCTCTCCCTCTTTTGTTTCTTTCTCCTGTTCTCTTTTCTTCCATTCACTATCAGGCAGGGCAACCTGTGGAGGCCCCAGTCAGCCCAACCCCGAGCCAACAGGGACTAGAAGCAGCAGCGGCTGCAACAGTGAGTGAATTAAACCCACAAACCATCATATGTTGTTTAAAGAGGTGGAAACAGTGCAGCAGAATTTTTTTTTAACTATATTGAGACCATGGGACATGTGTGCTCTCTTGGGAAGTATGTCCTTCTTACTCACTGAGATGATGACAGAAGAGATTTCCACCTCTTATGAATAGATTCTGATTCCATCTTTACAATTGGTCTGCTAAGTCTCTATTCAAATATGTGAGGACATTCATGTCTATGGAAGCAGAGTGGCTGTTGTCCCCTCTCCGAGTCCCATCATCTTAATCCAAGATGGCAGCTCTTGGAGTCATCCACTTTCCTGTCTGTATTTTGTGACCATGTATTGGATGATTTTTCAGCATGGAGCAAGAACATCTCTGTGACTCTTGAATTGATTTCCCTGTACTTTAAAGTTCTGCTCCAGAGCGATGCTTGGACATTTGGTCCGTTTTAGCTGTGACTTACTCTCTTTCCAGTGGAAGCTTATTCATGTCTACTTTTTTGTGAGAGACTCAGAAGCCCTCATGTCCTTAGCTGTTCCATTGAGACCTCCACGCTGGCCTGTGTCTTGTGTGTACCCTACATCTGGTGTAATAACCAAAGTCATCTTTGTTTGGCTCTTTCCTTCTTCTAATACTAACTCATGATTCAGTGACAGCACTTTGAATGTTAAGCATTTCAATATTTGTCCTTAAAAACATCTCTTAACCAAAGTCTTATAATGTGCCAATATTGAATTAGTCCAATCTATTCTAGGTCATGAATCTATGAGATTTTTTAAATCTCACCAATAGTGGTTACTCATGTACTGTTGTGTTCTAATAGCATCATACTCCTTTAAAAGAAAATGAAATGTTTAGATGGATAATCGTTTCCTTCATTAGGTGTTTCTGATCATTTTAAACTTAGAAAACTGCTATAACCATCCTTCTAGAATTAGTCTAAAAGGGCTGATATTTTGGGTCAGAAGATATTTTAATGTTGTCACTTAAAATTGTTTGCAAGTAGGGAATTACCCTCTCCTTTCCTATGAGAAATTAAAAAGAAAAACCGTTAAAACACATACTATCCATTTATTGACATTCTTTCCATGTGCTCTTCTTTCTGCAAATCTTAATATATTTAAGATGTGCTTCTGGTATGTCAATCTTGATGCTTTTAAATCTGGCATCCTCTTTTATAATACTATCCAAGTTAAAAGTCCCCAGTCTGGAAACCTGCACATTCTAGGGTCTTAGCCAACTGGCCAAACATCTGTTTCTAGAGAGCAGCCTGAAGGCTTGAGGATGATCATTCTACGACAAGGGCCCTGGATTCTCGACCCTAAGGGCTGAGGATATGAAAACTCATGTGTCTTTGTTCTATTCTGTGTCCTCTTGGTTGTCTGTAAGTGGTGTATCAACAGTTTGATTTTTTCTTTTCTTTTTTCTGCTGATGTGTGTGTCTCATCCCTCTTCCTGTAATTCTCATTCCCTGTGTCTGAAGGGACACTTGTTAGTGTCTGGTTGGGAGGCGTAACCTGTCTGCATCTCACTTTATCTACTCTTTGGGGAAAGCTTCAGAAATGGCCTTCTGCTTTAGGAGTCTTGAAGCCTGAAGCCTGCCTTCTCTACCCTGTAACCTATCCCAGGATACGTTGGAGTCCTCTCCTATCAACAGTGCCTTTGTTACACTTTTGGTCTACCTTTAGAAGGTTGTCAGGTGTGATATTTGCATGACCTGGAGGTGCCAGGGCTTTAGTGGTTCCCAAGTCTGACTACACATCAGAATCACCTGGTGGACTTTAAATTTGTTTCTTAGGGTATTAGAACAAAACAGATAAATGGAAGAAGAAATAAAGATGGCCCAGAATTTCATGACTCAGACATCCCCTACAGACATTAAAAAATAAAATTAAAGCAATAGATGCAGTTGGTTAGAGAATGCAAATAGTACTGAAAGTGAGGCCTCCCTGTCTCCAGCACCCTTCTCCTCCACAAGAGTATTGTTATCAGATGGGAAATTTTGCCTCCAAATTTTCTGCATTTATCAACATATCTGTCATCTATTGATGTAAATATGTATATGTGTATTTATGTATATATATTTAAAACACATTAGGAATTGTGTTTTAAACTGTAGCACTCTTCTGCCCCTTGATTTACTAGGTTTTTAAAAATTCAGTATATTTTGGAGATTGTTTCATAGTGATCCTCATTCTTTTATAGTTGCCTAGCATTCCACAGAAAGTTCTGTTGGATGTGCTAAAATGATGTACCCATTCTCTTGTTGGTGGCTGTGTTGGTTGTTCCCACTTCTTTGCTATAACTAATAACAATGCAGGGACATCCTTGTCCGTGTATCTTGATAAAATTTCACAAGCATAGACATTCCCAGCAGTAGGATTGCTGAGTCTCAAAGGGTGCATGCATTTTTTATTTTGATAGACAATCAAAATGAATATACAGTTTGTACTTGGGGAAATATTTTCTTAAATACAGATCTCCTAGGCCTGACCTACTAAATTTCCAATTTCTGGGGTAGTATTTGAGAATTTCTATTTAATGAAATGCAGCTTTCAAGGTGATTCTGATGCAACTGGTTCTCTGACCAGCATGTGAGAACCACTGCTAGAAGAAGAGGGAATTTGCCTAAACCCCGAGGCCTGATGGTTAGTGAGCTGTGTGTTGTGGTAAAAGGTGATCACCAGAATGTGAAGCTGTGACTGGGGACCTCAGGGCAGTTGGCCAGGCCTGCCGCATGTTGTTTGTGCTGCTGCCCAGAAGGCCACTGGCGGGAGAGCAGTCTTCAAGCTCTTGCCTTGTTTGGTCCTTGGACAGAAAGTATAGGAAGTGGCTCTAAGGGCTGTTTCTTTAGCTCCTTTTCACTCTGTGGCAGGTTAGTGCTAATTGGTATCTGTGAGACTTAATGTAGTTCTGCCTGGTTTTTATACCCAAAGGGTCCTTTTGCCTCTATCAACCAAAGCTTTTCCAAATCAGGTTGATTTACACATTCTGGTTCTGGAGACCCTGCTGAAAACTATGCCTGGGAAGTGAGAAGGAGCAAACACCAGTCAGCATCTGCCACGTGCCTGTAAAAGAGTTGTTTTAATACTCCGGATCCTCCGTTGAACGAAAGGAGCCTCCTTTTTTTTTTAAACTCAGTATTTTGTAGCCACAAACTAATGTACATTGAATGTTTTTTCCTTCCCTGACTTAGGAGGTCCTATGTTCGTGGTCCATTTCTGGGAGCGGTGGTTGGAACTCTAGGCTCCTGTTGAAAGCTTGTCAGACCAGGTTACGATCACCGTGCCATTTGGCTCTGCTCCCTCTTAGAAAGTCTAGTCTTTAGTTTCAGGAAAATTGGGGCCATTGAAGGCTTTACAGATAAAGCTACATTTGTTATGAGTCTGCTCGTGTTAAGCATTTCATTCACGCGGGAGTCTCAGGTGGCGTTGACCAAGGCGAGGTGGGCGTGTCTCGGTGCAGCAGGCAGAGCTGCGTATTTCCTCGGTCAGGATGAGGTGGGGAATGTAGGTTGGGCCTGGGGTGGTGGTGGGTGGGGTGGGAACAGTGGTTTGTTTTTACTTAGCTGTTCCATCACTGGGTTTTGTTTTTGTTGTTAGAATACATGCTTTTCTGAGGTTTGTATGTACTAACCATCACCCTTCCCCACTTCACAGAATGTCACATTAAAGCCCAGGCAAATTCGACTCTTTCTGTTCATCTGTGTAGGGAACTCTCAACTTTGGTGGGATCAGGGTGGGCAACGGACCGACAGAGGAGGATGCTGAGATTATTCAGCATGACCAGCTCTCCACCCATTCAGAGGACGCAGAAGAGGTAAGATCCAGTGGTGTGGGCTTCCTCTCCTTCCACCTTGGGTCAGCCTACTCTTATGTACCTAAGTTGCCTCACTCTAGTCTTCTCGAAAAATGAAAATATGAATACTAAAGATCAGCCTGCCTTCCAGACCTCGGGCATCACATTGGGCCCCTGCTCTAAACTCCAGGTGCTACCTGCGTAGTCTGCTGCAGTTTTGTTCTGTTGTCCGACTTCTCGAGTTCCGAGTTGCCTGCAGTCCTCTGTGCGCAGATCTGTTACTAACCGCTCTCCTCGGGACCGAGCAGAGTCGGTCCCAGCTTCCAGCTCTTATTTTAGAAACACAGCCCACTTAGGGCAGCTTCGTCATCCCTTGCCCCTTCTAGGAATGTTCCACCTGGAACTGTAATCACTGGTACTTTGAAGTCCTGTCCCACTGATGTGCTCCTGTTGCAGATATTTTATTTGAGCCTTTTAAAAATGTTACTTGCCTGCTTTTTCCAGGGAGAGTGAAAAGTAGTAAGGCCAAGGTAGACTTTTCCTTAAACCGCCCCCTCCAAGCTCATTTGTTTAAAACCCAGTCTCCTCGCCTGACCACTCATGCCACAGCGCCTCTGGACTGAACTTTTGAATCTCATCTATTTATTATATTCTTTTTAAAGCAAATAGGAGTTGAGGACCCAAGTGACTAGACTTTTCAGTCTGACTGACCACCTCTACTATGTGTATGACTTTTTAAAAAGAAATTACGAGGGTTGGAGTGCCTTTTAAAAATATATATCTTAAGGCTGTAAATCCTACTGATTTGCTTTCCATGTATGCTGAGGAGGCCTGCCTCCAACACGTTAGACCCATTTACCATTAACAGTCCTCCTCAGGAAGCAATCAGTAGCCTTGTGCTCATGACTTGTGACCTTGTGTGTGACGTGACTTCCCACTAAGTGTAAATTTGTGTTTTCAAGCCTTCCGAGGACGAAGTGGTAAGAAACAAGCTGGCTTTGCCTTCATGTTTATCTGGGGCTTCTCTTCCCATCCTTGTGATCACTCTCCTGACCCTGCCGCATCCTGGGGACATGACACCTGCACATCCTGCATCTCACTGGCCGTTTCTAACCAGTTTGTGAACCCGTGTTCTGAAAAATCTCATCTCCATTAACTGCATCTCATGTTGATCACCTCTGTCTTTGTTTCATTGACTTTGCTGGTCTAATACCTCTGAGAATGGCTTTGAAAGGAGCTACAAGTAATGTCTGCATTGGCATTCTTGATGTGACTCCCCTTGGGGGTTCAATCCCATTGGCCTCCGCCTTCCTCTCCTGTGATGTTATGTATGGTCGCTCTGCCACTGGGAGTAGCTCTTTCCTCCCTGCTCCTCTGAGTGCTTATGAGTAAAGCTCACCCTTCCTCCCTGTCTGAGATGCAGCCGACCTCTTCCTGCTGTCCTCATCAGCTTAATGATGCTTGAAGTGAGAATTGCTGGGCCCTTGCTTGGGGTCAGCTCTATCTCCATGTGACCCAGCGGGGAGGTAGACAGCTTTCAAAAGAAGGCTTTGCCTCTCAGATGCGTCTCAGAAAAAATAATCCATCTGCGCGAAAGGAGTTCATATTATACCAGCCACACAGAGAGAATAGAAAGAAAGTTGGCTAAATATTGAGCCACATCTGGAGTAGAAGGCCTTCCAACTCAGCAGTAATTCATTTAGCAACACACAAGCCTTGAATTGGGTTTTCAAAAGGCCTTGCTGCACTGTTTGCATCTTCCCCCAAAACTCTCTAAAATACCTAGACTCATGAACACTTCCTTTTCCTAACTCTCCTGGTCCTCTCTAAGGGGACAGTGGGGTGGGAATAGGGAAATCTTTGCTGTTCTGTGTAAAAACAGACAGTGCTCAGTCTTCCTGAAAGCTGGAGAGGCTCCTTTACTGGCATCCAGGAGCTTCTATGTTCCTCTGGACCGCTCATCTGTGCACAGTCGGTGGCAGAGCTGCCTGGAAGGGCTGAGTGGGACTGTGTTTCATGTTATTGAAGATCCCAGCCCTCTCCCAGTAACACCACCTCTGACAATACAGCTCTTTCCAAGTGTCTTCCTAGTTGAGCACCCAATGCCGTGGTCATTGTCAGAGTGGCCCTTATTTGTAGCTGTGGCCCCGTGGAGCTGGACATCCAAACAAGATGGACTTCCCAATCTCTGGCCCCCCAGCTCCCTTGGGGGTTCAGCTTCCCATAGCTTCCTAAGTAATCATAACATTTTATCTTTATCAGGCACATACACATTCTAGTTCTCTACAGCCAAATTTAGATAACTGTCACATTATCTAAAGATTTCAAAGAAAACAGATTTTTATTTTTTAATCCAGCCTACTTTTCTAGAACTTTCCTATTTTGCTTGGCTGTGAAAACCTGTTTGCCCCTTGCAGGCCATTGCTCCTGCTTGGGGGAAGCAGCAGTCCCTCTCCCTGGGGCAGGTTGGAGGGGCATCAGTCCAGGTGCAAACCAGGGCCAGGCCAGTTGAATGTCTGGGAAGTCTTTGAAGGCTGTAACCATTCAGCAAGGCTCAATGGCACCTCTTCTTACTGTGTCATCTCGCCAGGTGTGTTATCCAACCCATCCAATTCATTCATTCCACCCATCCGTTCATTCAACCTCTATGTGCCAAGCACTCTGTTTAGTACTGCAGAAACTGAGAGAAGAAAAACATAGTCCTTGCCTTCAAGGAACTCCCAGACAAGTTGAGGAGACAGTCTGGGTGACAGATGCTGTGATCAGGGTGTGCCCAGGATGCTGTGGGAGTGAAGAAAGAGGGCAGCTGACAAACACTGGGGTCGGGGTGGGGAAGAGGAGAGCAGGAAAGGATTCCCTAAGGGGTTATTGCTGAGCTTAGTCTGGTCAAGAGGAGTCTCTGTGGAGGGAGGGAGGGGATGCAGACCTATCAGTGTGTGCAGGTATCATAAAGACAAAGAGACCTGCGGGCCCACTCCCTTTTGGGAATAAGCAAATATTCAGCATGGCTGGAGCTCAGAGTCAGGAGTTGGGGGACGGGTGAGAGGTGAGAATGTTGGCAGAATCCGGCCGCAGCACAGTGTTCGGGTAACAAGGAGCCATCAGAGGGTGGTGAAGCTGGAGGTGACACAGCACGTGTGCATTGCTGAAATGCCCTAGTGGCCTGTTACTGGGTATGTTGGGTTGGAGAGGGGGCACAGTCTGGAGGCATGGAGACCAGCTAGTCTGATTTGAGTCAGGAAGGAATTGGGAGGCCTGAAGTGAAGTAAGGCATTTGCAGGGGGCGTTGGAAAGGAAGGGACCAATGTGAGATTAAGGGAGTAAAAGGTCCCAGGGCCTTAACGAGTGTAGGCAGCCAGAGTGAGTGAAGAGTCAAGATTGGCTTGCAGCTTGGGTGCGTGGGGCACTAGCAGTGACACTCTGTTAGACATGGGACATGGAGTAGAAGCAGATCTCGGTGGGGTCAGAGGAGAGCAATTAATTAGTTTAGTTTGGGTAGTGTTGAGTTTGAAGCACCTGTGGTGCACCAGGAGGAGATGCAGCACAGCTAGTCAGAAGCGAGCAGTGCGGACGTGGAGGTGACCATCTGGGAGTCACTCTTAGGGGTGGCTGTTGAAGGCCTGAGTGGCAGTGCTACAGGAGAAGTGTAAGGGCTGCAGCTGAAACGCCAGTATTTAAGGAAGAACCGAGATGGAGACTCAGGAACATCCAGACTGGTAGGAGGAAAGGCAAGGCGAGGTGTCTCAAGAGGGAGGAGGAAGGAAAAGGCCATGGTGACAGACACTGCAGAGGCTCAGTCAGGACACAGAACGTCTGTTAGGCCTCTTGACAGGGAGGTACGGGTGAGTGTGCCAGGAAGGGCCGGTTTATGGAGCAGAGAGGGTAGAATCCTGGGCTCAGTTGGTGAGGAGTGGATAGGCGGTGAGCAAGTGAGTAGAGTGTAGACAGGGAGTCTGCAACGATTCAGGGTCAGTCATAGCTGACTCATGTTGGGGCAGTGACACACCCCTTCTCAGTGCTTGGCGGGGTTTCTCTAATTCTCGCCCTACCTTTACCTTCCCCCATTATAGATAAGAAAACTTGCCCAAGGTTACAAAGCAGGAAGTTAGGAGTAAAGGAGAGGAGAAAGCAAGGGTAATGCCTGAAAGGGAAGCTTCCTCCCCTTTCTCCTTTTTTTTTTTTTTATGGGAGAAACTCTAAGGGGGAATAAAAATGCCGAGAAGGGCTGGTTCTCAGGGAGCCCAGCAGTCGCTGCTTCCGTAGAGCCCTTAGGAGTAAAGACCTGCAGTCCTTGGAGCCGGGGACCTTTCCTTCCTCTGAGCATGGGCTTTGGGGCAACACCGGCAGTGGGGAAAAGAGCTCTTAACAGCATTGCTGGGATTGCGGTAACTAGGATTACCCTCATTTTCAGGGTAACCAGGAGGCTTGAAGAGCCTAGTCCAGAAGAAGAACCCAGAAATACTGAGTGTAGATAGTCAGAGGTGAGGGAAAATGAGGCTGTCACCCAAAGATGGTGTGTTGGTGCTGGCCCCTCTCCCCACTGGCTGCACCTGTGAGGCCTCAGCTGTTAGCCCTTTTCTAGCCAGCCCCTTCTCTCGTCCTGCCCTCAGGCGATTTCCCAGGGCAGCTCTGGTATCCTTTGGGCGTGGAGTCATGTGAGTCTCCAAAGAAACTGGTGGAAAATAGACTCTGACCTGAGGGCAGGGCAGGCTGGGGAGGCCCATTGGCCTCTGCTCCTGAGGTTCTGGTCTGGCTGTGTTGGGAGAGGCCCGGGAAGGGAAGCGCCTTCTGTTCTTCAGTGGCTGTTGATTGCTCACCAGGAGAGTGAGGCCGAGGAACATACCTGGTGCTTCTCCAGCACGCCTGTATTCCTCCCCAGCTGCTGGGAGCAGTCCTAAGAGCGAACTCCTGACAGCTTGTTCCAACCCTACCCCTTTATTCTGGAAATAAATTATGATGTTGAAAGGAAAACTGGGAGAAAAGGAGTGTGAGGAAAACAGAAACCAATAGATGTTCTGTTTGGTCTTAATCAACTGTTTAAGTAGGAATTTGTAGAACTTTTGCCCAAATTTCCCTGTGTAATCTTTTCACAAGTCACAAAAGAAAAAGCAGGTTATCTTGCTCCCAGCAGGTTGTGAAAATAGTAAGTGGAGTGGCTGTGAGGCGTCGCCTTCTCCAGGTAGTTCCCGGTGGTTAATAGCTTGTCTCCTGAAGCGCAGCGCAGGGAGAGCCCTTCCTGCCTCGTGGCTTCCTCAGGGCACTTCTCTCAGGCACCTTAAGGTAGCAGGCAGCCAGAGCGGGTCCAGCAGCAGCTCCTTAGAGTTACAGGTCCAGATAGTCATTTTCTCTGAGTGCTCTTAACTTGGCATACACTCCGCTCTTAAGCTCACAGCCTTGCAGGGAGAAAAAACAAACGTGTTGAGAAGAATCTCATTAAGATTTAGTTCATTAAAATGTAGTGTATTGAGAGGAATGGGGATGTCCCAGTTGGGGGCTAAGCCACGCAGGATTTCTGGGTATGGCATAGTAAAAATCACTGCCTGACTTCAACACTGGGGGCTCCTGGCCCATGTAGCCGTTAGCATCAGCACTCATTCCAAGGCCCTAAGTGCCAAGTGGCCAGAGCTCACACTCCTGCATATTCCCCTCCTGGCCTTATGTCTTCCCTCTGGTTTCCTCCCATAACAGTTTGACTTTGGGGACACCATGGTCCACCAGGCCATCCACACCATCGAGTACTGCCTGGGCTGCATCTCCAACACTGCCTCCTACCTGCGGCTCTGGGCCCTCAGCCTCGCTCATGCACGTGAGTGTGTTTCTCTCAGATTGAAAGCTGGTCTTCCCCTTCTCTGGGCGCTCTCCTGGGTAAGGGGCTTAAATAGAATGGAAATTACATAAAGGTTCTGGAATTATCCAGACTCCTGAATCCAGGGAGAATGATGTCCGCATGGGAGTATGAGCACTTTTGCTAGGTTAACTATGCCTGGTGGTCCCGCTGAGGTCGTGGGAAGCCAGGGCACAAGGAATACTGGAGGTGAGGGATGCCAGAGCAAAATGCAGGGCCCCCAGTACCTCTTGCAAAACTGAACTGGATGTCATGTCTCTCCCCGTTCCCCAGAGCTGTCTGAGGTGCTTTGGACCATGGTGATCCACATCGGCCTCAGCGTGAAGAGCTTGGCGGGAGGTTTGGCACTGTTCTTCATCTTCGCCGCCTTTGCCACCCTGACTGTGGCCATCCTTCTGATCATGGAGGGTCTCTCGGCCTTCCTGCACGCACTGCGGTTACACTGGTGAGGCGAGGGGCCAGGGGGTGGGGACATGTCCTTAGCTGCACTGAGGGTGGCTTTACTCTTATACAGAATCCAGAGACACTAGAAAGTGTCTGCTTTCACATCGTTACACCCAAGGATCTGTCTTAGTAGTGAGCATCAGGAAATGTCCACAGAAAAGCACAGCTCACTTTTCAGAGCCTCTGGGAGAATTCTCTGGTGGGTGTTGTCAAAGTCCCTCTCCCTGCCTTTAACATTCTTCAGTGCTCTTGATTATGGCTTAAAAGATCTCCTGAGGTTTTATTATTTGGTTTGTTGAGGTTGTTTTGCTGTGGCATGTAATTTTCTCCTGTCTTCAGAGCAATGAAAGCAGCTCTGGAATAGATTCTAAGTCCAGGAAAGTGCTAGAGCACAGTGTACCCCAGTTTTATCCCCCTTGTTCTGTCATTGCCAGTGTCTTTGGGTAGGACTCTTGGCAGCTCCATGTGGGTAGGGGGATTCCTGGTCCCATAGTGTGGGCCCGGCCCGGTCGCGCAACGGTTAAGTTCGCACATTCTGCTTTGGCGGCCCGGGGATTGCTGGTTCAGATCCCGGGTGTGGACGTGGCACCGCTTGGCAAACCATGCTGTGGTAGGCGTCCCACATATAAAATAAAGGAAGATGTGCATGGATGTTAGCTCAGGGCCAGTCTTCCTCAGCAAAAAGAGGAGGATTGGCAGCAGTTAGCTCAGGACTAATCTTCCTCAAAAAAAAAAAAAAAACAACGAAAAAACCTGGTCCCATAGTATGAAGCTCGGTATACTGGAGCAGCTTCTTCCAGAAGGGTCGGTTTTGGACTTGTTTTCTTTAACATTGTTTGTGGCTGTTAATGGCTCTGCATGGAGAGAGATAACTCGGTCCCAAGGAGTGGGAGAGCTGAGGTCTGCGCTGGGCTGACTCTGTGACCTCAAAGTAGGATTGCTAGATTTTGGCAAATAAAATTATAAGACTCCCAGTTAAATTTAAATTGGAGATGAACAATCAATAATTTTTTTTTTAGTTTAATTATTTCCCAAATGTGCATGGGACATACTTATGCTAAAAACTGAGCATCCTGTACTTTCTCTGGCTACCCTCTCTCAAACCCTACCTCTTCAAGTCTCCATTTCCCCTTTACATTATGACTTTCTCTTTTTGGGTCTCAACCCCAGTAGCTCTGGAAGCTCTGGACCTTCTTCCCCAGAGAAACACTGCCGCCTGCAATGTGTGCACACACAGTTTTACCAGTTGAGGGGTCAGAAACTCACCGACCCTACCTTTGGAACCCCTAGATGAGATGATCTGTGGTTAATCTCAAGGTCAGAAGAGGGCTTTGAATGTCTCTTTCCATCACTTCTCCAAACCTGATGAAAATCCAAAATCTGAACCCGAGACACCTCTTCCCCACTTCCCTTATCTTTGATTTTTCTCCTGGCCCAGTTACAGCCGAGCCTCCTCAAAGATTCTGCTGTTTGTTCTGAATTACAGACGGGAAGAATGAGGCATGTCAGGGCGAGACGTGGCTTGGGCTTGCTCTTCCCTCAAAAGCTCCTTTAGAAGAGCGCCTGCTGCGTCAGGACACGACGCTCTCTCTGGCCTGGCTTCCCTCCACCTTGCCTGCTGCTCCTCCCCACCCAGCTGTTGTTTACTTGGAGCCTGGAGGTTAGGAGCGCTCTGTGGCTCAGACTGCTGGCACGCTACCCCCGTTCTCGGCTTATCAGGCTTATCAGCCTCCTCTCTCCCCAACACACTTCCTCCACCACTCCGTGTGAGGGAACGTCTCCGTTGCCAGCCCCTGGTGACTCACTTTTTCTTATCCTCTTGGCTTCCTTCCTTTCCTAGTCACTTCTTTGTCTCCTGGGCCTGGGCTAGAGGGAGCAGTTACCACCCCACCTTGATTCCAGCCCAAGCAGGGAGGCTGTTGCCTCCTCCGTGGGCCGGGTGGCGAGCGGTCAAGGTGCTAGACCAGAACTGTCGACAGAGCGGTGAGCCAGGCACACCACAACGTGAGGAAGGTCGCCTGGGCTTGGGCCCAGTGAGCTGAGGCAGTTTGGGAGGTCGTGTTTTGTTGCCAGAAGGATTACTTCTTCCTCAGGCTCACCTGTGGCCTTCCAGTGACGGTATCTTCCCATGTCCTAATGAATGAGCCCAAGGAAGTGATGCGTGACAAGAGAGCAGGCATCAGAGTCAGACCAACCTGGGTTTGAATTCCAGCTCTGCTGGCACTGGCTGTGTGACCTTGAGCAAAGCACTTACCTCTCAGAACCTCACTGTCTCTCATATGAAAAGAGAGGATAATATCCACTTGGCAAGGTTGCTGTGATTAAATATGAAATAACACTCATACCAGTGACTGTCACGGTGGCCTGGCACATCATAAACCAATGTTCAAGTGCAGGTCACAGCTGCTCTTCTTAAAAGTGGGATGCCGTGTGGAGTGGTCCCTTCTAAAGAAGCTGCATTTAGTCTGTTGAGAGAGGGGGAGACCCCAGGGGGAGGCACACGATACCATCTGAATGCCTCTCAGATGTACTTTGCAAGGAACAGGCTCGTCAAACATTTTGTATTTATGGGGTTTTGGTTTTTTGGTAGTGGAGGTATTGGGTAGAAGAAAATAAAATGGTGAAAATTCCTTTGTGCAGCTTTCAGAATCCCATCACTGGAGGCATATTTGGAGGTCTCCCCCACCGCTAAAAGGGAGTGAATGAAATTGGTGTGCGTGCACCCCCTGCTGGCCGAGTGTGGATGTGCTTCAAGGATTCCTGGGTCTTCTCAGCCCACTAAGGACTGCCGAAGTTCTAATTTGCGGCCTTCTTGTGAGGGGTGGGAACAGCTGGTCCTGCTGGAAATGGCTGCAGAGGTATTTCTGCTATTTTTCCCAGCATCCAGCCTGGGTGCCTTCATACCTGTCACTTTACCCCTGGTATTCAGCAGGGCTTTCCTGATTCTGACGCAAGAGCTGCCCTGTTATACAAGTTCTGGGTCTCTGGTGGAGATGAGAAGAAAAACATCTGATTTGATAACAAATATAAACCATTGGTCTGAGATTCATGTAGGGTCATAAGGAGGTGGTGACACGTTTGAAGACAACAGTGAGCAGGTTAATGTACCAACCTGCTAATTCTGTCTCCTTCTGAGTTACATGTCTCTCTCTTTTCCTTCCACCGACCACGTGAGGTGTGCTTAGCTTTCTTTTCTTTTTTTTTTTCCGCGAAGAAGATTTTTTTGTGAGAAAACTATTACATCTGTTGCCAACCTCCTTTTGCTTGAGGAAGATAGTCGCTGAGCTAACATCTGTGCGAGTCTTCCTCTGTTTTATGTGGGATGCTGTCACAGCATGGCTTGTCGAGCAGTGCTGGGTCCACACCTAGGATGTGAACCTGTGAACCCTGGGCCACTGAAGCAGAGCACGTGAACTTAACTACTACACCACCGGGCAGTCCCCTTAGCTTTCTTGCCTGCCATAATTAGATGTCTTTTCTTCCTCAGACGAGGCAAAGGCAGGGATATGATTTGTAGTTATAACAGTGGACACCAAACTGAGAAGCAGAAAGACTGTTGCCCCATGGCCTACCTTCAAAGGAACCGAATCCCTTCGTACCTAGCAGATTTCACAAACATGTAGATGTGCACACTTGTACACACAGATTGGTTGATGGCTAAAAGGAGAGAACTGGAGACCAGTGTGTCATAAGGAATGCAGTGGTGCCACGGCAGGACACCATGAGATGGCTGCCCCAGGAGAAGGACACCTACAATGTAGTTCCATGTTGATGTGGTCACTCTGACATTGGGGCCATCCAAAACTGCCTGCCCTCAGTCACACGCCCGCCAGGAAAGGGAAGAGGCCTCGGAACTCCTTCCCCCTTCACTCACTCAAGGAAACAGAACGTTTCTGTTACATAGCAGAAGAGATCTCTCATGGACTCCCAGTTAGTCCTTCTGGGTCACAGGGTGGCCTTTGCTAGAGGCGGGAGCTGGAAGGGGTGACAGAAACCCATCGGACTGCCTGCGGCTCTCCCCACTACTGGAATTCTGAGGGGCATTTTGGTGGCTTGGGGCCTGGCAGGGCCCTGAAGGCTACCTGAGCAGGGCCTAAAGAAGGAAGAACTTGCAGAGCAGCCGGCGCGCAGGCCTTCACGTCTGCGCTTTCTCAGGAAGCACGCATTTCCCTCGCTGGGAAGGAGAAGAGGGCGGGGAGACTAACAGGGAAATTGCTTTCCAGCTTTGTGCTGGGGGCTTGGAGTGAGCACTGCTGAGAAGGGAGAAGTCAGGCTGACCCTGGCATACCCACGATGTCCCCAGTGGTGGCCACTCTAAGTCTCTCCCCTGCAGCAGCTGGTGGAAGAGGCGCTATCAGGCGGTGTGTCAGAGGGCCTGCCCGTCTGCTCACGCAGCAGAATTTATATGCCCCCATCCCAGGCATGGGTCCCCCCTTGCTGCCCACTGGTCCCCAGGGGTAGATGAGGCATGCCAAGGGATGCCAGAAGAAGGCTGGAGACTCCATGGGCATCTGAAAACTTCTGAAGCTTCTACTCCATTCGCCTAGTCTGGAATCAGAATTGTGTGATTAGCCAGCCAGGAGGTCAGAGTTCTGGATGCCTCATGGACCCAAGATGACTTGCCCAACTCTCTGGCTATATGTTGTTGAAGGAAAACGGGACAAGTCAGACTATTTTCAGTTGTTTAGAAATACCCTTGCCCTGTGCAAACACAGCCTACCTAACATGAAGAATTCAGACCTAACAGCAGTGGGCGAGAAGCAGGATCCTACCCCCATCTCCATTGCCTTCCCCAGAGGAGGCCTCAGTAGCTGTAGGGACTTCTTGGGGGTGCTGGGACGGGGGGTGAATCCAGGTCCCAGTTTGGAATTGCTCTCACTGGGAAGCCGTGACTGACTTCAGTTTGAAGCTCTCCCTCCTAGAGCCTTTTTTTTTGCCTGAGGGGCTTGGCCCAGGCACTAATGGGAATCCTCCAGGGTCTGGGAGGCTTTGGGACCTTGGCCCAGCCCCTGTGGAATGTGAGGGAAGGTCACCTGTCCTTAAGCCCACACAGAAAATTCTGTTCACCTCTTCTCCCCAGGGGTGGAACTGGCAGCTCGCTATGCGGTCAGGGTCCTCAGCCTGCTCCCCAGGGCTGAAGGGGCGTCTGAGGACTTCTCCAGACAGTTATCAGTTATCCCTGTGATGATTTGCGGGCCACTTTCCACCCCCTTTTCGCCAATTCCTCCCCTCCAGGCTTGGAAGGAGGAGGATGCCCTCCCTGCCTCTGAGCCTTCCCTGAAGCCTGCCCTAGCCCCCAGCTCTGCCTGTTCTTGCAGGGGTTTCGGTGCCCACAGGGGTCACATGGCACTGAGTGGAAACTATTCCTCAGGGCAGCTCTCCTTGGCTTTTTTACCCTCTGAATCATGCATTTTTCTGCCCATATTTGGTGGTGATTTGGTTGCTGGGCAGCCATCCAGGCCAAGTTTGCAGCGGGAAGCACAGCCTGCAGGAGTGAAGCCTTCTTCCTGCCTCCTCAAGTTTGAAAGGGCCCCTGGGAGACCGGCAGGAATGGATGCTCAACTGCCTGGGAGGGAGTTAAAGCTGTTCTTCCCTTCAGTCCCCAAGAGAAGAATTCTTTCTCAGACGTTTTTGTAGTTGGAGAATATTTTTGCCATGGCTTTGAGATGACTTCCCCTCCTAACTCCCCCTTCCTGAGAATTTCCTCCCCTAGATTGAAAGCCTCTAGCGTCCACTTGCAACCCTCCCTTCACCTTCCTCCCCCGGAAAAGAAACAAACAAGAAGACCGTGGGCTTGCCAGGGTTCCTCACACTGAGCTCACAGCCGCGCAGGGCTTCCCTCAGAGGGCTGCCGGGAGGCCCTGCCAGGGTAGGGTGTTTGGGGATCTCTTCATTGTCATTAGAGACCCGAGCCCACTGAGCCTTTTTTGCACATGGCTGTCTGTGGAGAGTTGCATAAACACATTCTCTGCTCAGCAGGACAGAGCAGAAACTGAGGACAAACCAGTGCGTTGGTGTCTACACTGTGGCTGAGGGCAGGCGCTGGGCTTCAAAAGCAGGAGCTTGTGTGTGCTGTGGGAAGTGGGCCGAAGCCTGGGCTTTGTGGGTGGGCGGGCGGGTAGAGGGCAGGAGGCAGAGCCGCCTTCTCAAGCTCTTGTAGGAATGGGAAGCTTCGGGGAGTGTGGGTTTGGGGCATCTTTCTGACCCAACTGTGAAGTCCCAAAAGATTTCAGTTTTCTGTGGAATGATAACTTTCCTCATTCTTTCCCCCAGGGTTGAGTTCCAGAATAAATTCTACAGTGGAACCGGTTTCAAGTTCCTCCCCTTCTCCTTCGAGCATATTCGGGAGGGGAAGTTTGACGAGTGAGCCCTCGCGGGGCTCTGTGCCTGGCGCTCTGCCTGCTCCCTCCATGGTGATTAGCCGTGCTCCTCTTGCCTGTTGGTTGTGATCCCTGGGTATCGGGGCATTTGTGTCATCCCTGCCACCCCTCCACCAGCCGCCTGTGAGTCGTTTAGATAGATCCGGCCTCCCTGGGTCCCCCAGATTCCCAGCTGTGTGTGTAGTATAGTGATTTTCTCTAGAGAAGTTGGGCTCTGGTTGTCACTCACCCCTGGGCACCAGCCTTGCCCTCCTGGCCTCCCTCCAGTCAAAGACAGCCCCTTCTCTGCTTCCTGGTGGTGAACGGTTTGTGCATTTACACGTGAGCCCAAAGCCCATGGGAGGAGCGCCTTCGCCATCCACACCCAGACTTGGAGCCCCTGTTCTTGCCACTCTAGTCACTGTTTGGGGGTGGGGTGCTCTTTAACACACCCCATTCTTGGGTTAGCAGGGGCGGGTCCAGGAAGATGGTATTTCTGTCCTCTGCCCACCCCCCTCTGGTGTTCAGAGCACTTGTTAATCAGGAATTCAGCTGGACCCTGCTGTGCCATCATGCATGGCTTCTCCTTGTCACCCCTAAGGGTCCCTACTCAACACCACCTTCCTAATCCCCACCCAACACTCACACCCTCTCCTCCTCCCTCCCAGAATCCTCTTCCTTCCCCTTCCCGCATTTGCACCCAGCTTAACATAGCATAGCTGGCAGTGACCCAAAACAGAGGTCCTGGCTGAGTCCTTTGGTTGGCACTTCTCAGTCCAAGCATGGGCCCTACCACAAGCCTGCCCTCTGGGCAGAGGGTTCACGTTGATATTCTTTGCTGGTGCAGACCCTGAGCCCTTCCCCCCCCCCCGCCCCCCAATCATGAGTCTTCAGGGCAGGACTGTAGTCATCAAGGGGGTCCTGCCTGCAGGCCTGTCTTGCTCCTCCCCACATCCATGCCGACCCCAAGTCAGACTGGGGTCCGGGCAGGGAAGGTCAGTGTCATTTGCAGTTTGCTGACTGGAGGCAGCTGGCAGGGCTGCCAGTGCACGTGGTTGTGAGAGCTGCACAGCCCGGCCCTGTGGGCTGGTGGTGAGCCCCCCCAAGGGGCCCCTCCCCCATCACCTCCATACCGGGCTTCGGATCTTCGGGCCTTTTAATCATGTGTTGGCGCAGTAGCCCTGGCTGCTTCAGCTAAATTGATCCCCGCCGCCTTCAGTGGTCAAGATAATCCCCTGAAATGGCCGGGCTCCTGCCCTCCTCCCACCCTGGTTTTCTCAGTGAGCTGCTTAGAGCTGCTCACTCGACTGTCCCGGGCTGGGCTGGCCCTGGGTGTGGGCCACTTGCCCCAGCTTCACCGTGTCCGGCCAGTGTGACCTGACCCAGACTTTGTGCAGAGCCCCCTCCCTCCTGGTCCCTGTGGTTTACATGATGATCTCTCCTCTGTTTACAGCGGGGTTTGAAGCAGAGTTCTTTGTCAGGAACCCTGCCCAAGGCCCTTCTGTTCAGACATTCCTGTGCTGAATAAAGTGTGTTTGACTCCTCCAGGGAGGCTGCCAGTCTCTTCCCACAGCCCCTGTGTCACTCACCCGCTACCTCCTTCCTCCAGCATTTCTGTCTTTTTCTCTGATCAAGGGCAACAGCTGCGGTGGCCCTGGCCAGGCAGTTTGTGAAATTCTCACCTTCTCTCAAGTTTCCCAGGTGCCTTCCCACTCCCATGAGCCAAGGCAGCATTGCAGATGGTACCCATGGTGGGGAGGGGCCTTGGGGACCTGTCTTCAACTCCCCTTCTCACACTGCACCTCCAAACAGCCAAGGGAAGAGGGGGCCTGGGCACCGGCCCCCCCTCCTCTCCCTCCTCTCCAAGCGTGCTCTCCAGGGCTCAGCAGCCTGGCTGTTTTGAGCCCTGATGCCCTTGGCCTTGGTGTTTGTGGAGGCTCAGCCTGGGGTTCCTCAGAGCAGCTGGAGAATGTGAAGTGCTGAGTAGGCAGGTGGCCAAAGAGCCAGCAGACTGGTCCAGGCAGGCAGGGTGGGCAGGGCAAGCACCTTCTCCCTCCTAGGTGCCATGTAAGGCATCCACATTCTTTCTCACTGCCCCACTCTCCCCTCCTCTCTCCTGGGGCCTCCAGGGCAGGGGCTGCACAGAAATGTGAGCAGCAGGCTGACAACTGCTGCCCCAGGAGGAGTGAGGAAGGGCAGGCTGCGCAATTCATGATCCTTATCCCCCAGCCTCGAACCCTGTCCCCTGTGACAGGCCACCTGCCTCAGAATAGGTGCCACACCCCCACTTGGCTCCTCAAATAAGAGCAGAGTGGAAATTCAGGTAAATGAGCTCTTTTAGCATCTGCTCTGTTATTGACTCAAAAAGGGAGGCCTAATAAGAACAGATACTTGAAATCAATGGAATAGAATTACACTGAGAGTCCAGAAATAAACTCTGACATTTATGGTCAACTGATTTCCCACAAAGGCACCAAGATAATTTAATGGAGAAAGAACAATCTTTTCAACAAATGGTATTAGTACAACTGGATTTCCACATGCAAAACAAATTTGGACTGTGACCCTGCCTCCTATATACAAAAATTAACTCAAAATGGATCACACACCTAAATGTAAGAGTTAAAACTAAAACTCTTAGGGGAAATCATAGGAGTACATCTCCGTAATCCTGGGTTAGGCGATGATTTTTAGATATGACACCAAAAGCACAAGCGATAAAAAAAGAAGATGAAAAAATAAGTTGGGCTTTAGCAAAATTAAAAACTTTTGTGCTTCAAAGGACAGAATCAAGACAACCCTCACACTTGGCAAAAATATTTGCAAATCGGGGCCGGCCCAGTGGCACAGTGGTTAAGTGTACTCATTCCACTTCAGCGGCCCGGGGTTCGCTGGTTCAGATCCCGGGTGCAGACATGGAAACACTTGGCAAGCCATGCTGTGGCAGGCGTCCCACATATAAAGTAGAGGAAGATAGGCACCGCTGTTAGCTCAGGGCCAGTCTTCCTCAGCAAAAAGAGGAGGATTGGCGGCAGATGTTAGCTCAGGGCTAATCTTCCAAAAAAAAAAAAAGTGACTGCTAATGGGTACGGGGTTTCTTTTGGAGATGATGAAAATATATAGTGATGGTTGCACAGCTCTGTGAATATACTAAAAACCACTGGATTGTGCACTTTATTTTTTTGTTTTTAATTTTTTTGGATCCGAACCAGTGAAACCCTGGGCCACCGAAGCGTGTGAACTTAACCGCTCAGCCACCGGGCCGGCCCCCATTTTCTTTTTTTTAATCTAATTTGCAGAACATTCTGAATCAGCACCAGCACGTCTTCCTCATTCTTTTTTTTTTTTTTTTTTTTTTTTAGCAAATGCTTATTTCATCCCCTTGATGTACCTTAATTTCTGTAACCAGCCCCCTGCTGTCCTCCAAGAGCTCTCAGCCTGGTGGGAAAGATGAGAAAAAAGACAGTGTGACATGCCCAGAGTAATCAGTGAAGCTCCTGCCCCAGCGTCCGTGAGCTCAGGCTCTGAATGTGCTACCAACCCCTGGATGCAGGTTCCTAACCTGCTGCCCCTGCCAGCAACCCCCCACCACTCTGGATGAATCCAGACCCCACAGAGAGGCTCCCTGAGCCTGACAGCGGACCTCCAGCCCAATTCCCCTGACCTATGTGTTCCCTAAGATCCAGAAACGCTGGTAAAACAGGTCCTAGGAGGAGGAGAGTCTGACAAACCTCACCTGGAGCAAGAGGTATTTGGAGGAGACATTGGAGGGGAGTGGAGATGGGCCTGGGGGCTACAGGATATAGCCCCATGAGGGTACATGTCTCTGGGCAGGTCTCGGAGCTGCTTCCTGGAAAGGCTGAGAACCTTCTGATCCTGGGAATGAACGGGGGCAGGGTCTGCACCTCCTTCTGGAGCTGCTTGCTGAGCCGGGCACAAGGTAGGGGACTGCAGCTTGTGTCTGCAGCTGGGGGCAGGCGCGAGGGCAGGGCAAGCTCATTGGACTCTCATCTTCTTTCAGTCCAGGCTCTGGATTGGCAATCCTCCTCTGACCCCTTCCCTATCTCTAAGCAGCTTCACACAGGCCTGACAATCTGCAAAAATCTACACCTGCCTCCAAAAAGACTAAGAATACTTTTAGAAAGCACAGTCTTTCTAAAGGGCCCACCACTCCCCGCCATCACACAGCCTCACTCAACCCCTCCCTGCGAGAGGCAGCCTGAAGCTGATATGGGGGAATAATGGCAAGGACGCTGACTGGGGGTCAGAGCGCCTGGCTCTAGGCCCAGACCTGCTTCCTACTTGATCTTGTCCAAGTCACTTCCTTTCTCTGACCCTCAGTTTCCTAGTATGTAAAATAAAGGTAACTCCTGTCCTCTTCTGCTGCTGCCACCCTTTAAAGATCACATGGAGAGCCCTTAACATGCCCACTGGACCTGCCTCATGGCCAGTCCAGGCTCACATGGCCCATCCCTCCTTCAACTTCATGACCTTTTATTCCTCAAATCTGCCCAGCTCTTTCTTTACCCTTTTAGGGTCTTTGCCTGGAATGCTCTCCCCTTCCTCAACTCCTAGTCAATGCCAATTTAATTCAGATTAAATGTCACTTCCTTTTGGAAGCCTTTGGCTGGGTACCCTTGTATCTCTTCACAGCATCACTACTATCACGTAAATCTTTATTTAAAAGTATTTGGTTGTTTAGGGCTCCCCCATAGAGAAGTGGCAGTGCCTGATACAAAGTAAACTCCAAATAAATATTTATTGGATGGTTGGATGGATGGAAGGAAAGTGAATTGCACGTGAATGCGCGCTGTACCTGAAGGCGCTTGGGGAGGACAGTGGGTCACATCGGCCCTGGATTTTTAAGGTTACTGGGGTCACGCGCTCCCGCACCACGTGTGATCAGAGGACACCCTCAGGGCGCTGGTCTGGGACCCGGAAACCGGTCTCCTGGGCGCAGACCTGTGCTTTAGCTTCAGTTCCACGTGACCTGAACTCCATAGCTGATTGGACGCGAGCCGTCCCGCCCCCTAGTCCCGAGGCCCGGATTGGTTGTCCGCGGGGCCGCCGCCAGGCTGAGATCGCTGGACCATGGAGGCGGTGGCGGTGGCTGCGGCTCTGGGGTTCCTGCTTCTGGCCGGGGCGGGCGGCTCGGCCGGGGACGAGGCCCGGGAGGCGGCGGCCGTGCGGGCTCTGCTGACCCGGCTGCTGGGGCCCGGGCCGGCCGCCGCCTTCTCGGTGTCGGTGGAGCGCGCCCTGGCGGCCGAGTCCGGCCTGGACACCTACCGCCTGAGCGGCGGCGGCGCCGGGGCGCGGGTGCAGTTGCTCGGCTCCACCGGCGTAGCCGCGGCCGCGGGGCTGCACCGCTACCTACGCGACTTCTGCGGCTGCCATGTGGCCTGGTCGGGCTCGCAGCTGCGCCTGCCGCAGCCGCTGCCCGCAGTGCCGGAGGTGCTGACCGAGGCCACGCCCAACAGGTATCGGGCCAGACCCACTCGTCCGGGCCCCACGCCCTCCCGCTTCCAGCCCACGGGGCGCCCACCCCTCACTGAAGTCCCGCCCCACCCCAGCACCAGCCTGGTCGCTACCGAGCTGAGTAAGACTGCGAAGGAAGCGCTGGCCTGAGGGTCGCACAACTCTGGCTTCCAATCCTGCTCTGCCTCTAAAAGCCGTGTGTCCTTGAACAAGTCTGCCTCTCAGAGCTTCAGTTGGCCCATCTGAAAAATGGAAATAATGACATCTACCGTGCAGTGTTGGTTGTGAGGATCCGCAGGATGGGCGTAGACTTTGTGGTGCAGAATTGGTGACCAGTAAATGCTATTCCTTTCCTTCCCCGCCCTCTCTTCCAAGATGTTCCCTGAAGAATGACACTTGCCCTTTCACAGGCCTCTGTTCTAGCGCTTGCCCCACTGCATGGAGGTGATGTGTTCACACATCTGTCTCCCCATTAGACTGTGGAGAGAGGGACCCCCCTTCCAGGACAGGAACCAACTTTGCTGCATAGCACTTAAACACTGTGCAAAGAGTAGGGGCTCTGGAAGAGCAGAATGAAAATGGATTATGCTCTCCCAGATATCTGGGAGGCTAGGGGACCGTCGAGGAGGGCTAAGAGCAGGTGGGCTGGCCCTGCAGAAGCTCAGGTACTCTGCCTTAGCTCCACCTGGGTTGGATCCTGGAGTGAAGTGGTAGAGAGGCCGCGTTTGGAACCCTTTTCCTCTGGGCTAGATCTTGGGTGGGGCATGTTCCAGGGCAATGGACCCTTAGGGGTGGAGGACATCCTCTCTGTCCCAGAGACCAGCCCCAGCTCATGCCCCTGCCCACAGGTACCGCTATTACCAGAATGTGTGCACGCACAGCTACTCCTTCGTGTGGTGGGACTGGGCCCGCTGGGAGCGGGAGATCGACTGGATGGCGTTGAACGGCATCAACCTGGCACTGGCCTGGAATGGCCAGGAGGCCATCTGGCAGCGGGTGCGTGCCCCCCCCCCACAGGCCACCCTAGGTGTCCCCACCTCTGCCGCATCTGCGTAGCATCTGGTGCACGAGAAAAAGGGCTCCAGAAGTGTTTGTGGTGTGCATGATGGCCCCCTACTCTGGAAACTAAAGCTTCCGTGGCCAAAACAAGCACATAGGGGTGCTTACCGTGGGCTGGACCCCAGCACCCCACTCTAAGGTTTAAGAAGCCAGGCTCCCCTCTCTCCCCACCTCCACCTCCGGCCAGTCAGCTGCTGCTGTGGATTCTATCTCATATCTAGCTCTTGGTCTGCCTTATCCTCTCCATCCCTATTCATGGCCCCAGTTCAGGCTCTTACTGCCTCTCCCTGGACCCCTGCAAGAACCTCTGAATGGGACTCCTGGCTCCCCGGGTTCCACCAGACTGTCCTTTTTGAAATGCACATGTGGTCCAGGAGCTCCCCATTGCCTTCAGGTTTTGTGCAGCCTGGGAGCTTCCCTCCCTGAGCCCTGAGGGCTCTGGCTGCACCTGGGGCTGGGCAAGCTCCCTTCAGAGTGTCCTCACCCATCTTTCTAGCCAGCCCTGCTCCATGAAGCCTTCTGAGGCCCCCTCCCCATCTTGGGGAGAGCCCCTTTGTGACTTACCTCACCCATGTGACAAGGGTGACATATTAATAAACTCACCTGTTCACAGGTCTGTTTCTCTTGGACTGTAGGCTTCTTGCAGGCAGGGTAGCATTTTGTCTTAGTAACCCTGGGGCACCGCACAGAGAGAGATGAATGGATGTTTGTTGAATGAATGGAGATGAATGTAATTATATGTATACAATGCATCGCCCTCCTCCTCAGGTGTACCTGGCCTTGGGCATGACCCAGTCAGAGATCGATGAGTACTTCACTGGTCCTGCCTTCCTGGCCTGGGGGCGCATGGGCAACCTCCACACCTGGGATGGCCCCTTGACCCGCTCCTGGCACCTCAAGCAGCTTTACCTGCAGGTGAAAGGATGGGAAAGGGAACGGGCAAAAGGGACTGGACAGTCACCGGCCTGGGGAGGTGGTATTTGGCCTACTTCGGGGCTCTTAACTGGACCGTGGGGACTCTGTGGGCCGTGGGAGAGTGAGGGCCTCCTGCCTCAGTCCGTGCTCACCAGCTCCCCCTCCATTCCTACCAGCATCGGATCCTCGACCGGATGCGCTCCTTTGGCATGATCCCGGTATTGCCTGCCTTCGCTGGGCATGTCCCCAAGGCTATCACCAGGTGAGGTTTCCCTCTCACCTCCCACTTGGCTCAGAGAGGGAATTTACTTTCCCCTGAGGATGTGATTTAAAGGAAAACGGAAGCCCTGGATGTAGGCCTGCGCTTGAGTCTCAGCTCTGCCATTGCCTAGCCTTGTGACCTTGGACAGATTATGTGAATGCTCTGGGCCTCTATTTCCTCACTTGGAAAATGCATATGGCTTGGCACAGAGTCTTAGCAAATGGTAGCTCTTGTTAGTGGTAGTAGGGGTGCACTGGTCTCCTCTGTCCTTCCTGCTCCTCTGTGCTACCTACCCATCGTCTCCTGTGGCTTGGAACATTCTTTAAGGCCCAGCTGAGACCCTCCCCCTTCAGGAAGCCTTGCCCAGCATTGGTCACCACCTCCTTTATTCCCGTGAGCGCCTGGTTCCTGCACTCTCACAGTGCTCACACATGCTGCTGGCCTCACCGGCTGCCCCTTTGCCTCCCCCCGGCCCGGGTGGCAGGAGCCTCGTTCATACATTCGGTGAATGCTTGTCAGGCTGTCTGGGCTGCCAGCCCGGCTCTGTGCTGGGCCCTGGGGATGCAGTGACAAAGGAGCACTGAGTTCCCGCCCCTGGTGGGAGATTCGTTGGCAGGGGGGATGCAGTACAGTGATAAGGGTAGGAATATATTTGGGCCCACTTCTCCTCTGTCAAGGTCACTTGTGTGTGGGGAAGAGGGACAGCAAGGGCTCAGAGCAGAGCCAGTGCTGAGCCAGGTATTGAAAAACGAGTGTCACTTGTTTCAGCCAGTGGGAGGGGGAGAGACAGCAAAAGCTTTCCAGATGAGGTGAAACTTAAAAGATGTCGAGGAGACATCCCACAACTAGAAGGACCTGCAACTAAGATATACAACTGTGTACAGGGGCGGTTTGGGGAGATAAAGCAGGAAAAAAAAAAAAAAGATTGGCAACAGTTGTTAGCCCAGGTGCCAATCCTTAAAAAAAAAAAAGGAAGATTGGCAACAGTTGTTAGCCCAGGTGCCAATCTTTAAAAAAAAACAAAAGATGTCGAGGAGGAGTAACCAGCTGGAGAAGCAGGGAGGGAGGAGGAAAGCACTCCAGGAGCAGGGCACAGTGCATGCAAAGGCACAGAGGCATGAGAGACCAGGATGAGTTCCAGGAACTGCAGATGAGTTAGGGAGGCTAGTGGTGAATAAGACTCTGTCAGCCTCCAATAAATGTCTGCACTGTCATCCCCCCCACTAGGGTGTTCCCTCAGGTCAATGTCACCCAGCTGGGCAGTTGGGGACACTTCAACTGCTCCTACTCCTGCTCCTTCCTCCTGGCTCCAGAAGACCCCCTATTCCCCGTTGTGGGGAGCCTCTTCCTGCGGGAGCTGACCAAAGAGTTTGGCACGGATCACATCTATGGGGCCGACACTTTCAACGAGATGCAGCCCCCTTCCTCGGAGCCCGCCTACCTCGCTGCAGCCACAGCTGCTGTCTACCAGGCCATGACTGCAGGTTCGCTGCTGGGGCAAGTGGGGCAGGGAAGCCCCCCAGACCCTCAGGGAGATGGGGTGGCCGAGGTCAGTGGGGGTGGGAGGAGGGTCTGGGAATAATAACACATGGCACTTTACAGTTTACCAAGCACTTGTAGACACACACTGTCTCATTCAGTCACACTGTGGTTGAGAGGTGAGCTCTGCAGCCAGACAAGCTGCTCAAACCCTGGCACTGCCACTTCCTGCCCATGTGACTTGCAACAAGTTACCTGTCTCCCAGTCCCTCAGTTGCTTCTTCTGTAAAATGGGCTACCTCATAAGTAGAATGATGCCCAGCCCAGAGTGAAGTGTCATTAAGTGCTGGCTATTGAAAATATTTTATTTGGTCTCTATCTCCATGCTAAGGTAGGTAACACAGGCTGGAGATTAGGGGATATGTCCAAAGCTGGAAGGTGTCCTTCCTGGTGCACAAATGGGCACCCAGCGCTCCTTCCTGCCACTTAAGGGCACGGGTAGAGAGGGGCCAGATCTGGGATGGTGGGGCGAGGAGGCTTCTGGGTCAGCCAGGAAGGGAACAGATTGGCTCCGGCTCCCCTGAGCAGCACTGCTCCAAGTATGACAGGACCAGCAGCGTCAGCATCGCCCCGGATCTGTACATGTCAGATCTGCACATTCTCAGACCCCACCCCAGACTTCTGAATCAGGATGACCGGGGCTAGGCCCCAGGAATCCATGTTTTACCCAACCCTCTGGGTGATCGTGATGTTCCATAAAGCTTGACAACACTATCCTGGAGCTCCCAACTGGGAAGAGGAGATGGGAAGGGCATGTGTGATGGAATGCCCTGCTGGTTGGCATTACAGCAGGAGTGTCCTGCGATAGTCATTTAACTTCTCTGGACCTCTGTTTCCTCATCTGTAGAATGGGGTGAATGTCCCTCTGGCCCCTTCTCTCATCACCTCTCTTCTCTGTCCCCCCCTGCCCTGACCACAGTGGACCCTGATGCTGTGTGGCTGCTCCAAGGCTGGCTCTTCCATCACCAGCGCACCTTCTGGGGGCCCGCCCAGGTCGGGGCTGTGCTGGGGGCGGTGCCCCGTGGCCGCCTCCTGGTTCTGGACCTGTTTGCAGAGAGCCAGCCCATGTATATCCGCACAGCCTCGTTCCAGGGCCAGCCCTTCATCTGGTGCATGCTGCATAACTTCGGGGGCAACCAGGGCCTGTTCGGGGCCCTGGAGGCTGTGAATCGAGGCCCTGCGGCTGCCCGCCTCTTCCCCAACTCCACCATGGTAGGCACGGGCATGACCCCTGAGGGCATTGGCCAGAACGAAGTGGTCTATGCCCTCATGGCTGAGCTGGGCTGGCGGAAGGACCCAGTGGCAGATTTGGAGGCCTGGGTGACCAGCTTTGCAGCCCGGCGGTACGGGGTCTCCCACAAGGACGCAGAGACAGCATGGAAGCTGCTTCTCAGGAGTGTCTACAACTGCTCGGCCGAGGCCTATAGTGGGCACAATCAGAGCCCACTGGTCAAGCGGCCATCCCTGCAGATGGGTACCACTGTCTGGTACAACCGATCAGATGTGTTTGAGGCCTGGTGGCTGCTGCTGACAGCTGCTCCCGCCCTGGCCAGCAGCCCAGCCTTCCTCTACGACCTGGTGGATGTCACTCGCCAGGCAGCCCAGGAGCTGATCAGCTTGTATTATGAGGAGGCGAGGACCGCCTACCTGAACAAGGAGCTGGTTCCCCTGTTGAGGGCAGGAGGCATCCTGGCCTATGAGCTTCTGCCGGCACTGGACAAGGTGCTAGCTAGTGACAGCCGCTTCCTGCTGGGCAGCTGGCTGAAGCAGGCCCGGGAGATGGCGGTCAGTGAGGCTGAGGCCCATTTCTATGAACAGAACAGTCGCTACCAGCTGACCCTGTGGGGGCCCGAGGGCAACATCCTAGACTACGCCAACAAGCAGCTGGCGGGCCTGGTGGCTGACTACTACACGCCCCGCTGGCAGCTCTTTGTGGAGATGCTGGTTCAGAGCCTGGCCCAAGGCGTCCCCTTCCAACAGCAACAGTTTGACAAGAACGCCTTCGAGTTGGAGGAGGCCTTTGTCCTCAGCACACGGAGATATCCTAGCCAGCCCCAAGGTGACACCGTGGACCTGGCCAAGAAGTTCTTTCTCAAATATTACCCCCGGTGGGTGGCTGGCTCTTTGTGACAGATTGACCACCCCTGGGCCATGTTCTCCCCAGACGCCAACTCCAGGCCTGGGCAGGTTCTCGGGGCCTAGAGCTGGACAGGCATCACAGAAGGTCCCAGGCCTAGGTGAAGGAACTCAAGACCTACTTGGTGGGATCCAGCATGGGTGGACCATGCGGAGGGAGATAGACTGCCCCCCCCCCCCCCCCGCCCCGGCAAAGTTTGGGATCAAAGTACTGTTTTAATACGCGTTAATAAACTGATGAATCACCTGGGTCTGTCTGTCAGAATGTCACTGCCACAATGCCTGGGAGGACTCAGGGGAATAGCGTGGACACTGGTGTGGGGCCAGTTTTCCCTGCCCCTTTGCCTCAGCCTCCCCATTTTTTTGATTGGCATCTGAGCTAACAACTGTTACCAATCTTTTTTTTTTCTGCTTTTTTCTCCCCAAAGCCCCCCGTACATGGTTGTATATTTTAGTTGTGGGTCCTTCTAGTTGTGGCATGTAGGACGCTGCCTCAACGTGGCCTGATGAGCGGTGCCATGTCCGTCCCCAGGATCCGAACCAGGTAAACCCTGGGCCGCGGAAGCAGAGCGCAAGAACTTAACCACTCCGCCATAGGGCGGCCCCAGCCTCCCCATTTTTAATACTAACCCCTGGCCTTTGAACTGAGAATGCCCTCCGAAAGCATTTACTTTCACACCCTTCAAAAACTGTAATTGTCCGTGTGAGACAGAGGCATGCTCAGGGGAAGAGCCATCCAGGGCACTCATTGCCCACAGGGGTGCCCACACCTTGCTTGCAAAGCTTTACCTTCCCTCTGACCAACTACTGAGGAGCCCGCAGGGTGCCAGCATTGGCCTCAGCTCTGCCTTGACCCAGAGCAGTGTCCGGAGATCAGGCCAGGGAGCAGCAGAAGGGACTAGCCTTGAGATTGTGTGGCAGACACAACAAGGGGTGGGGACCCTGGAGGGCAGGGCGTGGTGAAGCACCTATATCCAGCCCAGAGACCAGAGCCCAGCACTCCCAGCCTCTCCTGGACCGCCGCCTCATGGACCGCACCATCGTGCTCATCACCGGCTGCTCTTCCGGCATCGGCCTGCACCTGGCCCTGCGTCTGGCATCTGACCCATCCCGGAGTTTCAAAGGTACGTGAGTGGACGGAGATGGAGAAAAGGGAGCAGCCCCGGGGCTAGCGGGGCCCAGGCAGGGGTGAGCAGGGAAGTCAGATCCTCGTCCTCTCCCCAAACCTCCAGTGTATGCCACGCTGCGGGACCTGACAGCGCAGGGCCCACTGTGGGAGATGGCCCGGGCCCGAGGGTGCCCTCCCGGCTCCCTGGAGACCTTGCAGTTGGACGTGAGAGACGCAGATTCCGTGGCCGCTGCCCGGGCACGTGTGACCGAGGGCCGCGTGGACGTGCTGGGTGAGTCTCCCCACAACCTGTGTACAGGAGCCTTGCCCGCCCCGTGTCCAAAGCAAGATGTCCTGAGGCCCAGGGAACACCCAGGGCCCCCCCGGGGCAGAGGGCCGCGTGTGAGGTGGGCACAGCGGCCCCTCTCCCTGTAGTGTGTAATGCGGGCCGGGGCCTGCTCGGGCCGCTCGAGCTGCACCCGGCGGGCGCCGTGGCCTCTGTGCTGGACGCGAACGTGGCCGGGACGGTGCGGACGATTCAGGCCTTCCTGCCGGACATGAAGCGCCGCCGCTCGGGACGCATATTGGTGACCGGGAGCATGGGAGGCTTGATGGGTGAGTGGGAGCCGGTGGGACCCAGCGGGAGGGCCGGGCCTGGTGGGACCCCCCCGGGCTGCGGGGGGTGCCGCGTGTTCTCCGCGGATCCCTGCCGCCACGCGCCTCAGCGGCCTCTTCTCCCCTCGAAGGGCTGCCCTTCAATGCCATTTACTGCGCCAGCAAGTTCGCGATCGAAGGTTTATGTGAGAGTCTGGCGGTTCTGCTGCAGCCCTTTGGGGTCCAGTGAGTCACCGCCCCGCCCCCGTCCCCTCTGAACCCTGCCTTTGGGGACCCCAGCACCCCGTCTTGTTGGAGCCGCTCTCAGGCGTTCTCCCTGGCCCCTCCCTCCTGCGGCTCACATTTGTTGTGTGCCAGGCACTGTACTGGGCGCTTGGCATGCGTTATCTCGCTTCTCCTGCAACCTAGCTAGTGAGGTGTCGGTACTGCTGTTGGGAAGCTCAGGCCCAGAGAGGTTAGGTGACTGGCCCAAGGTCACATAGCTGTAAGTGACGGAACCAGGTTGGAATCCTGACTCCAGAGTGTCTCACGCCCTCAAAGAGATGTGGGAGCGCTTTTCGGGCAGTAACCCGCTTTTCAAACGCTCTGCTTATCCTGAGCGCCCTCTCTTCCCGGGTCGGCGGCGGTTCGCAGCCGCCCGCGCCCACTCGCCGCTCTCGGGCCCGCAGCGTGAGCCTCATTGAGTGCGGCCCGGTGCACACCGCCTTCCAGGAAAAGCTGGAGGGCGGCCCGGGCGGGGCGCTGGACGGCGCGGACGCCGACACCCGCGACCTCTTCTCCCGCTACCTGCGCCACTGCGAGCAGATGTACCGCGAGGTGGCACAGGACCCGGAGGCGGTGACGGAGGTGGGCGCCCGGCGGGGCTCCGGGAGCGGGCGCGGCACGCGGGTCCCCGCGCCGAGCCCCGGCCAGCGCGCCTCCTGCCGCCGCCGCAGGTCTTCCTCACCGCGCTGCGCGCCCCGCGGCCGGCCCTGCGCTACTTCAGCACCGAGCGCTTCCTGCCCCTGGTCCAGCTGCGCCTCTCCGACCCCAGCGGCCGCAGCTACGTCGCCGCCATGCACAGCGCGGTGTTCGCCGACGAGCCCGCCCAGGACCCCGACGGCGCCCGGGCCGAGGCCAGAGACGGAGAAGCCGGGGAGCCCTGAGCTTGGCGCTCGTCCTGCCGCCCAGCAATAATAAAGTCTTGGTCCACCGCCGTCTCCCACGCTCTCCTTTGCGCCCCCGGGGGTGTGCGGCTCGGGGATGGAGTGGGGCTCACTTGCGCGACAACTGGCCAGGGCCCTGGGTGGGTGATAAGGAAAGCTCCTGTTCTCTCCGGTAATGCGGTTATACGTACTAGGTAACAAGCCTGGAAAGAGGAAGGAGCTAGCCCAGTGTCAGCCTTAAGTCCACCGCAGGGCGGGGAGGAGGGTGGTCCCTGGATTCTTGAAGGTTTTCTGCAGCAGTAGGAGTTAGGAGGACTTGGGTGGGGGGAGAGTTGGGCTGTGACTTGGCCCCCACTAGTCATGGGACCGCAGGCAAGGTTCTTACCCGCTCTGTTTTCTTATCGGTAAAATGGGTATAATACCTATGCCATGGATTGTAGCGATGAATAAATGAGAAGCAATAGGATATATTCGAGTATATGAGGAAGCCATTTGGTTTAAACTATTTCGGCCTGATCTTATCTTTCCAGAAAGACTGGACAGGGCCTGTTGAGCATGCATTGTAGATCTGCTTTAAATATTTACAATGTCTCAAAGCCAAAAATGCCCTTAACGATAGGCATGTTGCATTTCTTTAAGGATAAGTACTTCTTCCAAGAAACTAAGGATTTCTTGGATTTCCGACCGCTGTGCTAGCAGAGACCTGCTGTGCTCACTTTGTGACCATTGACCTGGTATCCCAGCTAAGCATCTCATGACAGTAGTAAAAGAGATATTCCTGTCATGTGTGACGTATACTCTTTGTTCCAAGACGGTATATAACCACTCTGTACACCCCACTTCTTCAGCGTACTTCCTTCCTTGGGGAAGGAGGGCCCCGGGAGATAGTCCTTAGACCGGGCTGGTATAATAAACTCACCCCAACTTTGATTTGTAGATTGATTACTGATTATTTGTGTGGACATTTCTCCACATAGTCGAGGCAGGATTTCAGAGAAACCGGTTGGAGACCACCTGGAATCTACACTGAATCGGTGTTCAGTACCAATAGGGGCCCACTGAGTGCCCCAGGGGTCACTGCATTCTTCAGGTGACCCCAGTGAGTTCTCCTGAAAGCAGGACCTCCTTATTTTAAGTTGATGAGTTTATATGAGCTGTTTCAAGCCTTAAGAGTGGATGTCTTAAGGGAGTGATGATACATCCCCTAAATAAGAGGAACCTAAGGGGAATTCCTACGAAAGAGGAACCTACCAGGACTTCTCTAGGCCAGGGTTGCCTAGGGGGAACTTTGGAGTGGATGGGGCAGGCTGACCTTTTTAATTTGGCTTTAGGGGCCAGCCTAGTGGCGTAGTGGTTAAATGCCGCCTGGGGTTCACCGGTTTGGATCCTGGGCGCTAGCCTACACACTATTCATCGAGCCATGCTATGGCAGTGTCCACGTAGAAGAACTAGAAGGACTTACAACTAGGATATACAGCTATGTACTGGGACTTTGGGGAGAAAAAAAAAAGATTGGCAACAGATGTTAGCTCGGGCCAATCTTCCTCACCAAAAAAAAGAAAAAAAGAGAAAAGCACACACCTTAAAAACATAATTTGGCTTTAAATTGGAAAGAATTGTGTTTATAAAGTCTGAACAAACTGCTTGACAGAGAAATGAGAGTCTGACTTGTTCAGCTCTGAAGAGAAGAGACGCCAGCTCCTTCCTGCCGAAAGTCTTCTCAGGTGACTGAGAACCACATGGACGTGTCCAAGGATCAACCCTCATGACTCCTAGTGGTCCCATAGGGAGCTCCACTATCATTCAGGTTAATTAATTAAAGGCTGGTAGTGGGATATGCAGATGAGGAGTGGTCTTCCAACGCTCCAAACCCCCACGGCAGTTTTAGACTGCCCATGGGAGAAACCGAGGTATGTAAGAGAACGTTTAAGACCTTTCTCTAGGGAGTAACACTCACAAGCAGCACATGTCTGACCCACTGCACTGTCCCCGGAAATTGTTCAGATTTTATAGTAAAATGAAACTAAAAGCAAAACGAGAAATCGAGCATCCAGAAGCCGGCTAGTTCCCAAATGGGCAGCCTCCCCTGGGAACTCTGGCTGGCTTCACGTGGAGACTTGCAAGTGCTTAATAAAATGAGGATAACTGTAAACGGCTAGCAAGACAACCTGGGATAATTTAAAATTACAGTGCCCACTTTGGGGCTCCTTTTTAAGAGCCAGATAATAGAGAAATTTTTTTTTTTAACATTATTTTATTGAAGTCATATTGGCTTACAACTTTGTGTAAATTTCAGGTGTACATCACTATATTTTGGGTTTTTTTTTTAAAGATTTTATTTTTTTTCCTTTTTCTCCCCAAAGCCCCCTGGTACATAGTTGTATATTCTTCGTTGTGGGTCCTTCTTGTTGTGGCATGTGGGACACTGCCTCAGCGTGGTTTGATGAGCAGTGCCATGTCCGCGCCCAGGATTCGAACCAATGAAACACTGGGCCGCCTGCAGCAGAGCGCGCGAACTTAACCACTCGGCCACGGGGCCAGCCCCCTACATCACTATATTTCAATTTCTGTATAGTCTGCCTCATGTTCACCACCAACAGTCTAGTTTTTATCTATCACCATACATATTTGCCCCTTTACCCTTTTCACCCTCCCCGAACTCGCACTCAAGAAATCTTTAAAGAGTCGAGCTCACCACCTTCTGGTACAATTGATCAAAAACTAAAGGTTCCAGGAACTGTAGCTATTTACAAAGAATGGCAAAAATCTTACCAAGATTGTTTCATATCCTGAGGGCTTGACTTGAGAATCATCAGGTTGGTGTCCCAAAATAACAGTTGGACAAAAATGTGCTTTCACCCCATTTTACAATCAGAGATAGCTGGACAAAAATGCAGGTTGCACTTCTTTTTGTGGTTAATGGTCCTGCCAAACTGCCACCAGCCTCAGGGGAATTACATTGGCCATTAGAAGGAACATTTGATTAGGTAAGATTATTTGTAAGTGCATTTGAGAGCAAAAACTTCAAAATTCCAAAATAACCTTATTGAAAGTTTTATTGCAAAAAGCTAATAGAAAATTAAGTTACAAAATGTATCTAAAAGAAAAATATATTAGATCATGGCTTGACAGACACCCCCATAATCTACCTTCAAAGGAGGGCCCAACATAAAAGCTCCTCCCAGAGTTAAGGAGACTCAGAGATTTTCTGGGAAATTGCTACGTTAAAGGTTAATCGAATTGTTCTGTACTGCCAAGTAAAGCTACTGTTTGTTCCAGCTGAAACCTGACAAGATATTTGAAAGGATTTAGCAACTTATGATCAGAAATTCAGCCAAACTGGAAGCTGATATTCAGAGCCTGATCAGAATTTTTTTTCCAGGCCTTCTTCCTTAAGTTAAAATAAAACTAAGCTCCCAGAGGGAAAGAAGCAAATTAGGGATGATGTAGTTGGACTGATAGATTGACCTATAATGCCATTTAAGTTGCAACCCAGATTTCTGAGGAATTAAGAGCAACTGTCCTCAACTTACAAACCTTTGCAACACTGAAAAGTAACTCTAGAGGCAGTTCAGATTCCAGGCATTTCTTGTATCTCAAAAAGGCTTATAGCCTCTCTGGGAACTGTTATTTGGCCCTTCACCAATTCCTAAGACTGAAGAAAAAACGAGAGAAGGAGCTTTGTATTACTGTACTTGATTCATGGCAGCAATTTTAAAACAATAGCTGTGGAGTCTCTGTGTATGTGTGTGTCTCTCTATACATGTGTGGTATTTTTTACCTCCAGATGTTATAATTCCTAAAAGAGCTCTATTTAATTGGTTTAAAGTAAGTGCTTATGTAAATGTAATGGAAACTAACCCAGATGTCTTTCAAGTTAACATGATATGAAACAATCTTTGGTGGGGCCGGCCCAGTGGCCGAGTGGTTAAGTTCGTGTGCTCCACTTTGGCAGCACAGGCTTTCACCAGTTCGAATCCTGGGTGCGGACATGGCACCACTCATCAAGCCATGCTGAGGCAGTGTCCCACATGCCACAACTAGAAGGACCCACAACTGAAAACATACAAATATGTACCATGGGGCTTTGGGAGAAAAAGGAAAAATAAAATCTTAAAAAAAATCTTTGGTAAGTGAAAGTTTACTTAAGTTTGTTGGTTTGATTAAAATAAACATGTTTTCAGAGTTATCAGCATTGGATATGATACAAACATGTTATCTCTGTTACGAAATTTGTCAGCAAATAACTTAGAATAACAGTCGATTTTGCCTAATGTCTCATGAAGTTTTGTAGGCAATCTAAATAATTATTGGGAACAAGTAAAGTAAATAGATGTGAAGAAGATCAAAGTGTTGGGTGAATTTTTTAAACAATAATTATGTGTTATGGCGTATGTACTTAAAATAACTTTGGAATTTTTTTTGCATATTTTGCATATTTGGAAGTCACTCTAGTCCATGCACTGTGATCACCCCTGGATTATTGCAGTAGCTTTCTAACTGGTTTCCCTGATTCTACTCTTGTCCACCAATAGTCAAATTTCCCCAATTTCCCCACTGCAGCCAGAATGATTGTATAAAAATGAAAGTCCTATTGTTTCATGTCACTGCTCAAAATACCTCCTGTGGCTGGCGTCCTATCTTAGTCAAATCCAAGGTTTTCCCCTTCACGACCTTCTTTGACCCTCCTTTCTGACCTCATCTCTCACCACTCTCCATCATCTGATTCCACTCTACTGGTCTTCTGCCCCTGGGCCTTTGAACTGGCTCTGTCTGGTTCACATTCCCTAATCTTGATGTCATGTCTTCCTTCAGGTCTTTGCTGTTTTCCTGGATGACTCTGTCTAAAATAGCATTCTTTTCCCTCTGCTATAGTCCCCTTAGCCTGTTTTCTTTTTCTTCATAGCACTTCTCATCACTAGATGTGTATAGATTTATTTATTGACTTATTGACTTTATTGCTATAGATTTATTTCCAGTCTTCACCACTTCATCCCAAGACACACAGGAATCTAAGCTCCAGGAGGGTAGGGACTTTGTTTTGTTCACTGGTT